TGTATCGACACATAGATCCATATTGTGTTTACATACGGAACACAGGTCAAGGCACATCACATGGTAATGATGGAAAGAGCTTGATAATTGTGGTTGGCTTTGTATTAGTAAAAACTGCAGTCCTAAATCCATATGGTGGTTTTTTTTAAACCACCTGTACATTGAATGCTTTTATAATTTAGACATCCCATGGTTAAGAAACTAAACTTGGTAAATATAATAACACCTAAAATAACTAAAAGACTTCATCAATGCTTGACATCACAAAAACGAAAGATATCACGATGTTTCTCAATACCTTCAGATTCAGTGTATGCTTTTCAGAAAACGACCTACCATATGGATATAATTCTTAAGTAGGTTAGATATATTATACACACTAAATAATCTAAGCTTTAAAAAATACAGACGCCATAAACATACAAATGTTGATTACGGTTTTTTACTCATAACCAATAACCTGGAGTTTGATATAAAATGATTATGTCACATCACATATACTCCGTTTTGAACATATTACTAAAAAACTAACACATGAACAATAAGTTTTTTAAACTATGAATGAAAAAAGATCAGATAACATAATGGTTTTAAGTTTAAGAAAAAATATTGTCACAAGACAATTAGATTTAACATGACTTATTCAACAAGACTATCTAAATAGTACACAATGAACAACAACCATCGTGAAATTAGGCATAAAATCTTGTTAAACAATATTAAAACTGCTTACACTACATTGTACACTCATTAAGCATTATAAAGTAAGATCAATTCACAACAGTAACAACTGATGAAGAACTAAAATACGGTTTTATTTCACTTAAATTTCAGAGAAACGATGTACATTTGACAATTCAAAAAGGGTATTTACTATATTTGAATGAGAATAAATATAATATTACCAATAGGAACTATAAAATATGGTAAATATACGAGCAAACTCTTATTTAATACCATCATTGTACATTAATAAAGGCAAAATATAGATGGATTGTGTAAAGGAATTTACATATGTTAACAAAAATGTTGGTGATTATGTAACATATGTAATAAAGATGTTGCATAATGGAGTGATCGGATTTTCATTTATCCAAAAGACAGAAAAAAGAAAGAAATGAAAAGAAAATTTACAATGACTAAGCATGAATATAATTAAACTGCAGAGTTAACAGTCAGTTAATTAAAGAGACATGAACCCAAGACAAATAAATTATTAACAGACTAAGGGAAGACAGGATGAACAATATGATTGTATTCAGTAGAAAAAGAGAATAAAAATGTACATATAAATAAAGAAACAATAGGATGTTTCAAGAATATACAGAGGATGTTTTTAAGATATTTCCGCAGCATTAATGGTTTGCAAAATGGCAATGGCGGAACAAAAAATAAACAAAACTGAAACCAGTCCAGTGATATAACGCGAAAATAAGGGAAGTTTTTTATTGTTATATTTACCACGAAATCACAGCCTGCACAAAATATTGTGGACAATCCCTATTTGAATATAAATAGAAAATGGTAGGACCTTCCAGTGATAACAATAAACGAAGAGGATGAAAAATGATATTTGATTGTAAATCAAGGACATGAAGAACTATCATCGGAAAGCTATGAAAGCAAAAAGAAAAAAATGGATTGCTATAATCCGGTTATTTGAACATGTTAGACGAAAATCTAGTAAGAATATTAGGGGAAACCGTAAACATTAAATAAGAAATGGTGTAACAGTCTACAGGTCAGTTGTTTAGACAATATAATTTCAGCGCCCGGGACTTTGTTTTATGTATTATTTGTCATGATACACATTACAAATATATAGCTCGTTCCTTTCTGGCGTAGCATACATTACCAACTAACTATCACAACAAGGATAATATCGACTGGGAAAACGGTAAACTCACACTTTATATTTATTAAAACAGCTACACGTGAGTGATCTTTATTATTTTTATTACTGAGGAAACAACCTGTAATTCTTCTGATTTTGCGGAAGTAGGGGGCTACTAATAGGTGATTTGTCTGATAGAAGTATGTTTCATAATGAAAATACTAATGAATTAGAACCAGACATTTGCATGTTAGTTAAATTTTAAACATGTATACATAAACACAATTACCATAATATAATAATAGTACATACCTTTGAAAATAATGCCATCACTGTTTCTTGAATACTTGGTGAATTAGAAAGTCGAAGTGACGGAAAAGCAGTTGGTGTAGTGGCAGTTTCACTGCTTTTCTCTACAGATGATACATTACTTTGACAAGATGATGCATCATTAATACGTTTGTGAGATCCCGATTTAGAAGAGGAATTTTTATTATACATATTAGTCACATCACCTAAGTTGGAAAGTAAAGTTTTTACACTAGGACGCAACGATGAAGAACGAACACGTTGGGATTGACCGGGTACAATATTAAAAGGTTTTTGATCCATATAATGTTGATCTTCGCCACATTCTAAATCAGTTAAACTTAATCTGTGTGTAAAAGGAGTTGACTGTCTCTAAACATTAACAAACAAATATAGAATAAAACAAGTGAATAAGTTATCACAGTTGACTGATATGCGCGCTATTTTCTTTTGAAAGATAATACGAAGTGTAACTTGACTTTATACAACTTAATATTTGTTTCCTGATTAATGTTATCTTTTGTGAATTACTTTAAAATTATTAAGTTTACGGATTTAATAAATTTAATAGAAGGAATTGAATCAATTCCTGCTTGATGGGTTCCATAATTGTTTTACACAATAACGAAAGAGATGCATTGTGTCACTGAATAAAGGAGATTTCCTTTTCGACGATTTCATGTATTTAAGTTGTGGAATTATATTTATAGCTAATTTTATTTGTTAGTAAAATAAAAAGGTGCTAAATATTTTTAAAAAAAACTTGAAGCAGTGTGCTGTCGAAAATTGAAATTCAGATACTGAAAGGAAGTAATAATAATAATAATCGGCTGGTGAAAAAAGTGGTAAAGCGAAAATAATTGTCCACTTGATAGCTATTAAAAATACAATAATTAAAAGTTGTAGTAAGTGCTAATTAACAGCTGTGAAAATAATTGGAAACAAATAGAAATAATTAAATAAGCAATAGATGATGGAAAATAGAAAGGGAGTTTAGGACCATGGAAGAATGAAGGAGTGAACATAGTGTTTATGTACGCAAAGGTTAGGTTTAAAATGGTGGATAGCAATAGCCTCTAGTGTACATACGTTTTCTATTTGCATGCTTATAAGGCCGACATTTCTGACAGTATGTGTGAAGCAGAGGAGCCGGAATTGGCTAGACTAGCCGCACAAAGGGATCACTTTAGAAATGCATCTCTAAACATTGCAGAAGTCAGTCAAAAGCTCAATCTTGCAGCCTCCAAATGGTACGACCCCCAAATGCCCAGGTACGGCTGAGAGTTGGGAGTTTCCGCTCTCCCTCTCGAAATCCTCTCACATGACCACGCGTATATAGCCTCTGCCAGGGAAGACCTATTCACTGCCTTCTCGTGGAGGGGGTGTTGTTTACGAAAATGAGAATCTCCGACGCTTTAACTGGCCCGGTGGATATAGTGAGTTCACCTAAGGGAGTTGGAAAACCCTGATTCCAAACCAATGGTGCACATTTGCTCCAGTATCCTAAAGGAATAAATAGCGTATGAACCAATCGTTGGTCACCGGCTACCATGGGACTGCATCTCCTTACGATGCTCCACTGTCTTGTGGATAAGACCTTCAGGTCAAAGGCTCTGGGTGTGACTCTCTAAGAAAACAATTTGCTTCGGTTCGAGCACCCGGGAAGCATTCTAGCCCTCACACAAATCAAGTGGCTCATGTGGCGCATATGTATTTGGTGCCTCCTCGTACCAATGTTTATGTGTTTAAATAAATAAATATCTAGGGACTAAGACAGCCTTCTGACTTTAACTTTATTTTCACATCGATACGATGAACTATAAATATCCACCTGAAAATAATACAACGAAAATTCAGAAGTGAACTTCTCTAATCTAAATCGTAGAATCCAAATATGAAATAAAGCACATTTATACAACCTCATTTACTACAAATTATTTTAACAGTAATTTATACTTTGCTAATGAAAAAAATATTTTTTACTATGAATTCCGATATTTAAAAACATATATTTCAGGTAGAAAACTAACGTCGGGGAAAATTTAGACAAAAATAACCCAATTTAGAATGAGAGAAATGGAGTTTTCTTTAATGATTTGATTTTACAGTTTTAATAAAGTAAACTAACTAAAATAAAGCAAACAAACTAATTTGAAATTAGCAAAACTATTTAGTAAAACAGTTCACTGAAATTTTATATATTAGGTCCTTTGTAATTAGATTATGTTAAAAAAGGATAAGCACCAATCCACCACTGTTAGACAACAATGTCATATGGTTATGAAGAAGACACATCATTGAAAAATGATACATAAAAAAGGTTGGTAAGCTGTTCCTTTTAATAAATGTAAGGAAGGTATTCAGAGAAAATTCAAAACGGCAAACAGACACACCTCTAGACGTGTTTATAAATGTTTCAAAAGCCTTAGATTCTATTTTTCTGGAAAAACGAATATAGTAATGACATTGTTAAATGTGTTTACTGAAATAATTATTTAGAAAAGACAGTTAATGTAATCGAATTGTAAAAAAACGTCACATATCATAAGAAAAAACGACAAAAACCTTAATCCAATAAAATTTATACATTTCAGTACCAGAAACCTACATTGTGACTTCTGCAGGTGAATTATTTAATTGTAATTGCTTCTACTTAGTTTAAAAACTGAAATGATCAAGTGCGAACAGTCGATTATCAGATATGGATTCAATCAAAAGAAAGCTGTTGATCGTGAAGGTGAGATATAACAAAATGACCGAGATAAAACAAAGCCTAAAAAAGTACGTTCTGATAAGTACTGCATAACGGATATATATATATATATATATATATATATATATATATATATATATATATATATATATATATATGAGTGAATCCCTGCCAAGTCCTTTTTATTCCATCTCGTTTGAAATGATATCTGGGATAATTAATCACTACAACTTAAGCAGGTTTACAATATACATAAGTAAAATGATATTATCCTTTATTCTGACGGTAGTGCAAATTGTTATAATTTATTTCATACTGTTTTCAATCAGTGAAACAGATAGAGCAAAAACATATCAGTTACATACAATGTACACTTATTCATGATATATTTATCCTAGTTCACCTATAGAGAATGAACTCAGTGGAACTATTAGTTTCACCAAATATTGGTAGATAAATTAACGTAACATACTTTTTTTTAGCTCAATAAATACTCGCAACAAACCTGAAGAAAAGAGTAATCGTATTTATTATACAACGAACTATTAGTGAAGTAGAAGACAAACCTTTAGAGATTCAAGCGAAGCTGAGTGACTTTCGACTATTCACTGAACAAACGTAAGCACAGAAAGATCAGATACAAATTAACATCGATGAAATAATAAGTCGAAGTAGAGTATATGTTTTATATCTAGTCATAGAATCGTTGATAAAAGGAAACTAATATGAAAAATAAGAATTTCTGCGCACTACTTAATTCAATTACTTAGATATGGAAGTATATGATTATCTATGAAAGCTATATAAAATTAACAAGAATAACTAAATAAACAAATAAACTATTGTCTGATAATACAGATAAATCGGAATGTGGGTAGTATATATAATTTTAGAAGAAAATTGTACAAGCATTTTAATTTGAAATAAAAGTATAACTAACACAACACCAATAATTAAGAGATCAACAAATATGCATTGTGTTTCATAACATAACTTAACTGATCTTAAACGGATATCACCAAATATCGATTTATCATAAAAATCAAGTTCAGTATCTCTTGTAAAATATATTATTATTAATTATGACAGAGTGACATTAGAAAACAATCACGTCAGAAATCATAATATTTATTCTGATGTTTATGATCATTCCAAAATAAATAAATAAACAACGAGAAAATTTTGTCAACTACATGATACATTGGAAATGAACACAAACACTACTTATTAGCTTTTAAAAAAATACAACTAAAAACGTTAAGATAAAGTTATAAATGTGTCGAAAAAGAGGTTACAATTCTATTGATGCGGATTAGACGCTTAAAAAAAGACAAACTATAATTACGTATATTTACACACTTTATGAAAACAAAACTAAACAAACATGTATGCAAACCAAGTATTCATATAAATGTGTGAAGCAGTATTGTCATCAAAATATTAATGGTGAATTCACTTTTTTGTATTTAAAAACATAAGCCTTAACTATCTGGTTGATATTTAGAAACGAATAAATAGTATGGTTAGATTTATGAAATTGGGATTTCTTGGCCATTCAGTGAAGAGTTCTGAATGTATCTCAGATTTTCAGTTGCATAGGTTGAGCAGTTCATAAGCTTACAAGTCAATTCCACAACTTACTATGATAAAAAATATAGTTCTTTCTTTCTAGGTATACTAAAATCCTTTTGATTGTAAAGTGCTATTTAGAATAGCGTATAAGTTGTTGAACAAGGAAGAAATGAAATAATTTCAGGATATTATGTAAACTAATTTACCAATCGTGGTTAATTTATTTCACAGATAATTAAATGTTTTCAATGAGAAATATCTTATAGGGACTTTTGTTGTAAATGAAAGTTTATGAAAAAAACACACCGAAAAATAGGCTGATGCACAAATACGAATAATAAAAAAATTAGGTTACTGAAATTAATTTTACAAAAAAAGATCTAATGTAGAAATGCGAATATCAAATGAAAGTATTTTCAGAAGTTTAAGAAGCCAAAAATCTGTGCTTTGGCTTCCAATAATGAGATCGCTCAACCGCTAGGGCTTTAATTTTACTTCAGGCTGTGAATAGTGCGAGTGGCAATTAAGTGTAGGTCTGCTATTATCATTGCATAAGATAGGTAAAAAAATAGAAATAAATGCAGCTAAACACGCATATATATATAGTGCGTGTGTGTGAATGTATGTGGTAGCAGATAGACATTCTCTTGTCATGAAGGAATCAACAATACTGGAATTCTTTCTTCATATAACACAAGGGTATATAATGGATAGAAAATCAATAATTCATCAATCAAAAGTACAATGAATCATCGGAAAAATAAACAATCAAAACAACTACCTTACAGACATTAATTTATATGTGTAGACAAATCCTGTGAAGTAACAAAAAGGTAATTTAATGAAAAAAAAGAACGCTAATTTAAGCATTTTACATAGATTATATTCAGTTTGCGAAATTAAATTGCACAGAGAAAAAGTAAAATTCATACATAATTTACTAACTAATCGGTCTTTAGATAAAATAATGTGAAATCTTTACACTCACATTCGATTTGGAACATGCATGCGTATCAGTCAGTCACAAACAAATTTTCTGAGTTATTGATGTGTCAGCTCTTTACCTCAAAACAGCTTGCCATCAGAGATGAAAATCCGTCGAGTAAAGTGAAATGTGACATTACAAGGTCAAACTATCCCATCCCTTTCTTCTGTTGTAAGAAGCCAGAATTGTTGAGGATACTCGTTACCGAACGGAAACACCTTACTCTCATCACACCTCAGTAAAGTTAGCAGTACGACTTCACCCTTGCACCATGTGTTCACTGCATTTAGTCGCACCGCTTCTCGACTGACCTGTCTAATATGGTATGATCTCAATGAACAATATATCCGGCCAAAATAGATCGTCCGGATAATTAAGATTGGCAAGCCCAACCACTAAATCAATGTGGTTGCTGAGGTGGCGATATATATATCATTAATGTGTGGTCTCTCATAGTACAACGTAAAATAGTGTCACCCAGTTAAAGGAGTGATTTTTCAGTGTCACAGTCACATAAAAAGACAGAATGCGATAACCGGTTCCAATATTAAGAAAGAAAATCAGGAATAAGTGAAGGATATTCACCTAAGACGATTATTTTATGCCTCAATGAATTCAAGAAAGAACCATGTATAATATGAAGCTTAATATAAAACGTAAGACAGAAAGGGTGCTAGGCAAAATAGCTTATTTAAACTTTACATTAAAAGAAACATTCCCAAATCCTGGAAACTACAGCGAAGTCACAAAAAAAAATCATAATAAATATAAGATTAACATCAATAACATTTTACACACGAAGTATATTCTATCTTGTAGTTACAATCATTTCTTCACTGAATGACTGACTTGGTAAGATTTAACATATATCCTAAGTATATAGCTTCATCAATTATGACACTGATCTATGTACAGTTGGTGCTTTAAAGGAAATATGGAAGTTCCAATATTGCATGGAGCTTGATCAGATTGGAAATCTCATTTTAATAGGTAGGTAGGTGTTCAAACAGAATTCAGCTTCTCATGAAGTAATCAAAACAATGGCTCAGAAATCTAAACACTACTTTAGCTGAATAAATGTAAGTTGATAAAACTGTTTTTCCAATAATTCTGAACAATATCTATACCCGGTATAGATGCAAACGAAGATGAAAATATTTTACAGTAAAAAAGGGAAACAAAATTTAGATACTTCAATTTTCAATGTAAAGATAACAGAATTGTAAAGTGATAAGTTTAAGTAAATATTCAGTGTCTCATGCAAAAATGGATTTTACAGAATATTCATCATTATTGAGAATTCATCAGAGGAAATATAGATACATAACAAATTAGTAGAAAATTTCCATTGAGATTTACAAGTGTTTATACATACATAATTATTGAAGAGATAGAAAATTAATCATTAGGCAAACGGCCTAAGTGAACGGACGGATAAGTGATTTTAAACATGTGAATCTAATCAAATAAGTCAGTCAGCTACAACTTAGGACCAGGCACATAAGTGCATCGGTCCAAGTTATCATACCTCATTAGCACAACAAGATGAACGCCGGATTCATAGAAGTAGTGGTGATAAAATATAAAAGGAAGATTGCATATAAGAACATAGTACTGGAAGAAAAAAATTAGTTCGTAGAAAGAAAGATATGAAGCGATTTTAATCTCACAGTTTGACGGAAGACAGAAAGTATATACACCTACGCCACTGTGATCAATTCTGAGCAATGTCACCCACAGTCTCCAACCATTGGTTACGATAGTCACGCGGACCCCAACCAAGTAGTCTGCATCTACCAACATGGCTCAGATCAGAAGTTAATGACTTCAAGCACTGATGCCACATTTTGGTTCGGCCACTCTTAAATTTTATTCAACTATCCGCAACACTAGTCAGCACTGCGCGTCGTGGTAATCGATGTTCAGGCACAGGCAACACGTGGCCCAATGATCTCAGTCGATGAAGATTCACAACTGATTTACCATCATTCCCTAATATCCTGTGTCTAACCTCACTATTACTTACCCAGTGATCCCAGCAGATGCGAGCAATATTTCTAAGGCATCTGTGATCAAATACTAGTAGCTTACGAATATCTTATACTCTTATTGAGCACGTTTAGCAGCCGTAAAGTAAAACAGAACGAACTGCCGTGCAGTATATTCGTCCCTTAATTGGTAGACGAATAAATCTAATAAGTTGTATGAATGAGAATTCTGCCCCTAATATACAGTTTGGATGGCTAAATAGCATTCATACGAAATATAGCTCAAAGCTGACTGGAAACATTATACACACAAGTATGAATCTGAAAGTTACAGCTATCATTGTAATTGGAGAAACATGAATTCGTTTAATCAACGAGAAAATTTTCGAGGAATAATTATGCTGGATGATAAAACTTCTAACTATTTTATTAGGAATGATTTTTGCATCTACACGAACATGTCTAACTCGACATTTTATCTAACAAAGTACAACATTGTGGTAATATATTTAAAAACAATCACCATTTGTATCAAATAAAAAGTTTGCATCATGTGTTTAATTGCGTGAAGCTTACTTAGAAGCTTTATAAATCATGGTCACTAAATGTCAAGTTTATTAGTGCTTTCAGTACGAATTTTAATTTTTTCCGAACTGAAGAGATTTCATTTGACGATTTACCACTAGAATCGAATATAAGTCATTTTTCCACTTTATATGAAGATCGCAAAGTGCTACCAAATATCATAGTACGGTCAAGGGTGAGGAGAGTCAGCTCTCCCTCTCGAAATGCTCTCACATGACCACGTGCATACACTGTCAGGGAAGTCCCATTCACTGCCTCCTCGCAGTGGTGGGGTGTTGTTTACAAAATTGAGAAGACGAAAAGTAAATGTCCGGTGCTTTAAGCAGTTTGGTGGATATGGAGGATCCACCTAGCGAAGTTAAAAAAAACCCCTAATTTTAAACCAATGGTAAACATGGGCTCCAGGATTTTAAAAGAAAAAGTGAAGTATGAACCTATCGTTGGTCACCGGCTACCATGGGGAGTACAACACTCTAACGTTACTCCACTGTCTTGTGGATCAGACCTTTAGGTCAAAGGCTCTGGGTGTGACTCTCTAAGAAAACCATCTGCTTCGGTTCGAGCACCCGGGAAGCATTCTAGCCCTCACACAAATCAAGTGGCTTATGTGGCGCATATGTATTTGGTGCCTCCTCGTACCAATGTTTATGTGTTTGAATAAATGAATAAATAAAAATAAGACCCCAAAGTTGGTATACAACTTACAGATTGAGATTTTGTTATCGTCGACATTTGAGTCAATGAAGCATTATGATGAAAACCATCTGGTGAATTGTTTGAGTCGGAAAAAGGAAGGTGGAGTAAAACATTGGGGATATTATTAGGTGAAGAACCTCTTCGGTTACCGTTACCACATTTTTCTTCCAATACAGACTTGAATCTTGCAATTCGTTCAGCCTCTGTGAGAGGTGGTTCCCCTGGGCTAGAAGTGAGATCTAAAAGAGGTGCACCTGTTATTTGAGGTCCCATGTGCGAAATGTGACGAAAGTCTGAGGGACCTGAAATAAGGTGTGATATACGAGAAGTCCCACTTGTTGGATTTAATGGTACGGTTGATTGCACAGATGGTTGTGGAGTTCGATTTTGTGATTGAGAACGGAAATTTCTTAATCTTTCAGGACTAACCCCATGAGTAGTACTCGATAAACTGTCTTCCACAAGAGAGTACAAATTGAAACGACTAGATTTCTATGAACAAGATATAATAGATCGAAATAATATATTATTAACAACTTTCTTAGAATTTCATTTTTGTAATTATCCTCTACTTTCACTTATCAAAAAATAGAACAGGACTATTACGATAGTAAATATATTAAAATGAATTGATATTTCACTTTTTCATTCCTATATCTAGTTGTCATATTTAACTTACCAGAAGTTAAAGATGGGGATGTGTGTAGAAAGATGTCGATTAGACTCCACCTTTTTTTATTCAGTATTAACATTTACTGATAGCATCGTGCTGATTAAACGTAATGGACTGGTTGAGAAAATATCTGCTGGTCAGGAAATGCAGTGATGAGAAGTATGGAAAATAAGGAAAAAATATACGCATGGGATGTACGAAAAAATCCCATAAATTTTTCACGAAATAAGCTTCATAAGACATTGCAAAAACAACACTAGTGAATGCTGAGTTAGTTTAGACAATTCGATAGTTAGTTCAAGACAACTGTGAGACAAAGTTTAGCATACCTGCTGAACCGATGATTTTACAAGCTAATGATAAACGTAATACAGAAGAATAAAGTTATAAATAATAATTACATGCTTAAAAGAAAACGCTTCAAATCCTTACTAATTGTATTTATACTTTAAGATAATGAGTATCTAGCGATAGAAAATTATATATAATGTTACTAAACACTCCGGGTCTAAACATAGAGTTGCGAAATACACCGCATTATGTTTAAACCATTTTCAAGTGGCCTGTGTTTCGAATGACAGATACTCATTAAACTTAGATGTGGATAAATGTTCTTACCGTGGTGTGGGAATGTGAGGGTTTTCCAGTGTTGCCACAGTGGGGGATTCTGGCAGAGCAGTGTCGTGGCTGCGAAAGCCGTCTGCTGGAAGTGGGGTTTGAACCCACGCTGGAACACCCCATGGGATTTTAAGTTCACCGCCCTAACCATTCGGCCACCCCGGCTGCATCATTGTTAGTATTATTACCTTTTACATGCATGTGCGCCAGGTTAGTAATTTATAATGTACATCGAGTGAGGTGTACGCAATAAAACCAACTAATAATGATCCACATTGATGCAAACATCACTAAACTTATTATACTTAAATTATATTTCATGAAGTTAAGCACTTTACTATATTCTAGTGTTTTTTTAACACAGTGACACAGTTGGTTCGAGCAGCGCCATCGGTTTGGTTAGAAAAAGGGAAACCTTAGTATATTAATTCATATTTAAATGTTTGCAAAATTAAGTGAAGCAGAAAATGCTATTAATAGTAGCAAATAATTACTTGTTTTACAAAAAATACCAACACTTACACGCACGCGCCCCGTAACACCAAAGATACTAGACTGAGGCATTTGTAATCGCCTACTTCGTAACGCCGACACTTGTTGTTTCGACATTTCTTTGTTATCGGATATCTGAGGTAAGTGGATCAACCGTACCAGTTGCTGCTGTTGTTGACCAGAAACTAAATCGCTTGGAGAAATGTATGGTGGGGAAGGTGTAGCAACATTACCGGTAGAAGAATCCATGATACCACCAACTGCTGATTTACGAGACGACGAGTTTGAAATAGACGATGATGATAGGTGTGCAAGACATAAATGTGCATCCATACTTAAAGGTTGAACACGACAAGAGCTAAGTGTTGATACCCAGCAACTAGTGATAGCATTAAAAACAACTAAACCAGCCTCCGTAAATACATATAAATATGGATAGGAAAAGCTAACAGCAGTACCAGAAATAAGTTTGGCAGGCCACATAAGATTATCTGGTCGTGTTTTTTTACGATTGCTATTCATATAGACTCCACAATCTACATAATAAAGCAAAACAATCAGATAAGGAAGTAATTTAGTTGTTTAAAAATGTCTGAGAAATATGTAGACGACGAAAAGATATGGAATGTATTGAGAGACTGAGAACACTTTGCGCTTACTTTCGAATGCTAACAAAAACTCATCATCTCCCAATTGAACAGCACAATGAGCTTCTGACGGTGAGTGTTGGAAGAATGCCAGGCTAGAGTCAAGGTCAATGAGGTCTCCACGTAATAAAACTTTTAAAAATAGAGAGTTTGGAAAACAAATGATATTAGGAATCTACAAGTCATAAAACAGCTTATTTCTATTAAAAATTAGACAATATTTGCACAAATCCAAACGAAAAAAATGAAATCAGCGTGTATAGTAATCTTATGTAGGTACAAAGATACAATAAACAAACCAATTCATTCACCAGGTACATGGTTATGAAGGTTAATGATACTACCCGATCGCCTAAACCGGAGAAGTTAGTGTGGGGTTCGAAGCTGTGACTTAGTGATTTGAATGTCTAGTATCTTAACAACTAAGCCACTACTTTACACGGAGACATAAATTTTGATTTGATTGATACCTGCGAAAAATATACTACCTTTTCAATTTCTGGACGCAAAGCAAAAAACACATACGTTCTTCTACGTGACTTTGAGCCAATCTAGTAGCGTTAGGGTAAGATAAACTACACAAGTTTCCTTATATACCGGATTGGAGACTGTGTATAAACGGTTGAAAGCATAAAATCCCTGGTCATTTATTTTTACAGGGATATATAGCATTGAATATGACTAAATATGACTAAAAGTCACTAGTATTCTGACAATACAATCCCTACCTTGAGCGGGTCCATCGGTCCATATGCTAAACATAGCAAAATAATTTGATGATCCAACACATATCCAATCACCATCTCGAACAAAATTGATAGATTGAACAATATACGGACATGAAATTTCTTTTAAACGTTTATGTCTTCCTTGTACACGTGCAATTTCAAAAATGAACAGTGAACGATTACTGGCCACACAAATTAAACAAACTGTATTGTTTCGACTCATTGAACAAGTGAATCGAGTACATAATTTTGGTTCAGTAATTTTGATTGGTTTTAAATTCATTCCTTCAAATGATCCAACCAGTATTAATTTTAAGAATCGTTGTTTACCTAAATTAAGAAATCCAAAATCCAGATCGTTAAAACAATTCATTGATTACTCCGTTGAAGTATACGTTAGAGCAATTTATTTATGGAAACATATACAAAATTAGCATTAGTTTAGTATAATGCTTTGACTGACTTATGATAAAAGCTTTTTAAAAAAATCAAAATACTGTACATTCATATTTGGCAAATGTATGTAAGTTTAGATTCAAATATTTTAACATATCAATCAAGCAAAGAAATATGGTACAGGGAATTAAAATTGCATAAAGTTGATTTAACTAGCCAATCCATTCCTATGGTTGAAGGCTTGATGATTTCAATTATAAAAAACAGATGAGATAGTATTTTACTTAATGAATAAAATGACGGTGTATTTCTGTCTGACTAAAAAGACTAAACAAGATATAACAAGAGAAATATATAATTGCGAATTTGGTACTTGAATTTTTATATAACACAAAATAACAAATCAGCTTAATCAAAAAAAAATATTTTCTATAGTACTGTCAGCATAAGAACATCAATAATAATTTAGTTTATCAGTACATTGACTGAAATATGATTAACCCCCTTGCACTAGTGAGGAAAGAGATAATTATTCCAGTTGACAATTCTTATAATTTACTAGGAATGTCACCAAAATATGTTTGGATAGTTGGAAAAGGTGACTAGCACAAAAAATCAACACTTATCAATACAACTATGGGTACTGGCTTTAGTTAGTATAAGATAAAAACCAAAGAACGAAGTTATTCAAGCGAGCGAAATTTATGTCTTGAGGTTACAAAATGTACAATATAGGCAACGGTGTAAAGAAAACCACTCAGACATTGATTTGTATGGTATCAAAAGTTTAGTTCAGTCTTAAGTAGTGATAATTAATACCATGGTATAAACGAAATAATCGATTGTGAAACAGACTAAAACTTCATGTTGCCTCATTGACTAAACTGTAAATCTACATCATCTTGACCAGAATATTTGAATATACTACACATTCGCTTAATAGTATTGAGATTAAAAAAAATTACGACTAGGAAACTATAACAAATTCAAATTAATTTCCACAAAAAAATATCTTCGTGATAAGATGAAAAGTGATCATTGAAAAAGTCATTCAAAAATCAACCAATATACACTAACCTTGTATAGCAACAGCTAATTGAAGTTCTTCAGCTAATGCTTCAACTTGATAAACTGGTTTACGTGCACCTATACGTGTATTTACTACATAAAAATAAAAGTTAATCATTTGAATGAAATTAACAAGTTATACGTCTAGAAGACCGTATAAAACTGAATACACAAAAATTTACTTTTGAATATAGATTCATACAAGTTTTGAATTCTGTTCACTAAAACGAATTTCACCCTGGAACAAGTAGCTTACACAAAATATTGAAGTAAATTATCCACTTGACAGTTTGTAACAAATATAAAACACGATTGGCAAAATGGAAAACACTATAACAACAAACAACGACAAATTCATCTGGGACAAGTCTCTGATAAAGATGGGTAGACATATTATCATCAGAATCAACATGTGATTTACCGTGACTGATTTTATGGGTTACCTATATTACTATCATTACGACAGAATTGAAGTTGTAAGTCACATCAACACATAAGAATTACTGCAGTTGTTTCACCGGATAATGGCGCCAACTTATTTATTTATATAAGCACATAAACATTAGCACGAGGAGGCACCAAATACATATGCGCCACATAAGCCACTTGATTTGTGTGAGGGCTAGAATGCTTCCCGGGTGCTCGAACCGAAGCAGATGGTTTTCTTAGAGAGTCACACCCAGAGCCTTTGACCTAAAGGTCTGATCCACAAGACAGTGGAGTAACGTTAGAGTGTTGTACTCCCCATGGTAGCCGGTGACCAACGATAGGTTCATACTTCACTTTTTCTTTTAAAATCCTGGAGCCCATGTTTACCATTGGTTTAAAATTAGGGGTTTTTTTTAACTTCGCTAGGTGGATCCTCCATATCCACCAAACTGCTTAAAGCACCGGACATTTACTTTTCGTCTTCTCAATTTTGTAAACAACACCCCACCACTGCGAGGAGGCAGTGAATGGGACTTCCCTGACAGTGTATGCACGTGGTCATGTGAGAGCATTTCGAGAGGGAGAGCTGACTCTCCTCACACTTGGCCGTACCAGGGCATTTGAACGAAGTAAGACTTGCAGACAAAAAAACAACAACGCAATTGTCAATCTGACTAACTTTTCCATATTGAATATCTATTGACGATTCGATAATTTAGCGACAAACAAGATAATTGAGGTAGTCATAGAAGCTGATTCTTAAGAAATTTATCCATTATTTCGTAAGAAAAAAAAGTAAACTGAAGATCACTTATAAACTTTAGAGAACGAAAATGAGTAATCTGAAATTTTACAAAAGGGTGTTATTCAGTGAATTAATATGCGCAAATGATTATACAATAAGTAAGAGTAAGTAGAGATGGTATGCATGTGAGAAAAAAATGTTTAACTTGTTCCAAAGTTCAATTCAACGTAATATATATCGAACAATATAAAATGGGGATTTATATGAAAGCTTATGATTAATAATAACATTAAGAAATAAATGGGATTGCGCCACTGTAATTTATTTTGATTCACTCTAAAATCCACGGTCAGACATAACAATTATTTTGTGGAATTTAACTAAGAAGTCAGCGACTACCAAAACAACTAACACTGACAATCAATAACTTTACTAAATGCCATTTTCTATTTTACTAGCTCACAGTCCAATATTCTTTAATATTGCATACCTCTGTACACTAGAACAGGTAAGGGTTAGGAATGAGAAACATATTTCAATATCACCCCAAAGGATGCAAGTTTATAGTTTCATTAATCGAATTACCATTGTCACTAACATTTAACATTACTGTCGCTAAGGTGATGGTGCGACCCTAAGACTGAGAAATTAATATGGTATAATACTTAAGTGCTTTTTTGTTAAACAAAAAATAACTTACTATTTTGCCTAATATCAACAATATAGAGTCCTTCATCCGTCCCAGCCAAGAATCGGTATTCATCTACAGAAATCCAGAAAAGTGAAAAGTAATAATAGAATTAAATTAGGGATATGAACACTCATATAATTGGATAAAAACGTTTCTATGGAAAACGTGACATAAGAACTTACCTAAAACTGAAGCACAATTAATTTGTTTCAATATGACGGATACAGAAGAGACAGAAATATCACGCACTTGTAAACACTGAGAAAAAAAACAAATGGAGAGTAAACAACATCAAAACACATTAACGGCAGTATAAACTAACTGCACAACTCTACTGCTTTAATGTAAATAAACAAGCACTAACAATTATTGGATTAAACATGATGTTAAACAGAAAGATAAGAAATAAACTGAAAAGTTCAAATTTGTTTTATGTCTGTATGAACTTATCAAAATATTACAAATGTAATTTTTGGTTACTGTAAATAGATTAAGTAATATCAATGGATATATATTACACAACGAATTAATTGATAAACTTAATGTCGGTTTAATGAAGGTCAGAAATAATTACCCTATAAATTTCTATGAATGAAATTCTCAAGTATATTACCAAACATGTGACTTCAAGTAGTGGCGAGCAAAATTAAGGGATTGAATGAAATCGGAGAAAATGTGTTCAGAATTCAGAGAATAACAGTGATGATAAGATCTTTACTATCTCTACCGGTTTTGACCATTGACACTGAACTCACTCTATAGCTACATAACAAATATGAAAACATATACAATCGAATAATGATCCACACACCTAATATTCTACTTGTTAATTATGTATCATCTTAATGCATGATAGAGCACAATATGACGATAAGTAGGACAAAATACGGCATGTCCGGAGAAGTAAAATATGGAAAAGTACAAGTTTAACTACAGAATGAAAAAAAGATAAAAGTATCATATCCCCCAAAAACCGAACATCAAGTCATTTTGTGCATGTTTGTATGATAGTCCGAATCATGAAGTACACAATGATAAAATAAAGTAATCATAGAATGAACGAAATATATACATCACACATTATATATATATATATATATATATATATATATATATATATATATATATATATCGCGTACAAAAAAAAAACAGTTTTGTAGAATATTTTGAGTACAACTGTTTTCAATAAATTCATATTAAGTTACGGCTGTATGGGATTTTACTCTCACAGAATGAAATATGAATAAAATAACAGAAAATAATTCAATGGTTACTTTAAGTTGGCAGAAAATTTAAATATGAATTATGTCTAAAAGATATGGTAATAAGAATAACGGCAACAATCAACATAATAAAATAGACGAAAGCCAAATGAGTCATTGGAAAAAATAAAGAGAGAACCATGATCAATGGTTGGATCTAATTGTGATAAATTTCATACAGAAGTATTTCTTCATGAATCTCAACAATAATTTGTAATGATGAACATATTCTATGAAGAGAATTAGTTTGCAAAGTGATGTAAAAATGAACAGTAAAAAAAGTATCGAAATTTATTAAGTCTAATAGTCGAATTAAGGAGAATGTAGTTGAATTGTAAGATCGGTTGAGTGGTATGAACCAATATTTATTAAATAAATAACACATTTCACGTTGCAAGAACAAATTTATAATCGAAATTTTAGACAGAAATTAATTATACACTCTCAATGTAAACTTTATGGTTGAATTAATAAATGTAGTAGAGTTTAGTAAACTATAACAGATTTAAGTACAAAATTTTGAATCAAATTTATGAGTGCATGTTATTTATACTACTTGGTCTTCTAAGAAGTAAAGCAAGACTTGAACTTATGACATCATAATTTTTACTATAGAGCGAGACGTAAGGGTCCTGAGTTCCACTGTCGAGGAGTCCTATATAAGGAAAGAACAGCTGTTCAGTGCTTCCTGGTTTTCAATGGTTATCTAAATAGGATCAGTCAGCAACGAAGACTATGAAATTCAAAAATCTCCGCAAATCCTTTGTAGTAATAATAGATGTTAAGTTAAAATAAAGTAATAATTCTGAAGATTCTTTACTTACTGGAAAAATACAGATCTATAGTAAAAACAAAGAATCAATAAAAACATTTGGAAATTAAGTATCTTTTTTCGGAAGAAACCAGTAATATATTTCTGATAATCGATAGAACTGAAGTCCTTCAATCAACTAAAGCCAATGCAGAGCCCGGCAAAATGTGCATTAGCCTCAAGTTGCTACATTACCATAACGAGATAAAATTAATTAGATGAATCAGTGAAAAAAAAAATCGAAATAGTGTAGCAGCAATGACAATGAAAAGTATTAAACATTGGGAAGATCGTTGAAAAAAGACAGAATGAAAAGGTATGTATGGAGGAATGCTGGGCTTAAAATCTAGAAAACAAACCTACAAGGAACAGCATAGTTTAGTATAAAAATTTCATTAAGCCAAGAGACTGTTTAGGTAAACACAAAAAATCTAACTCCGAACACTTGGCTACAGATGAAATCACAAGATTCTCAAACAAAAAGCAATTTAAAACAAGTAACCAATTAAGAATGAATGATAAAAGTATGTTGCCGACAAGACGTGGCATTAAAAGGTGGAAAACATTTGAAATGAACTACTTTATATATGATGAATTTAAGAAACTTATTTAAACAGGTAATATCATCTACTGAATACTGCTGGGGTTAGGGACAGAATAAAAACAAAGAAAATGAAGTGGAAGTTTTTGAAAGGATGCAGATGATTTGACAATGATGTTGACATGCTTTGATTGAAACGGGATGGAAATGTGTCATAGTGAAAGAAGTTGATAACAACAAAAAAAGAAGACATAAAATAATATACATCGGGCATTCGAATAATCAATTATATACCTTCGTAAGCGGCTTCAAAATATACATTTTTGTGAGATCTGGTTATGTCAGCAGGTTATCAAAACTAAAATGAGTAGAAGATAGTTTGAACAAACAACTCAGTAGTTGAAAGTCTAATGCTGTAACTAGTAAGCCACTGATGGTAGCAAAAAATGATATAAATTGGTCGCATCACTGGATAGTGTTGTGACAAGTATATGAAGTGATAAAAAACGGTTGTAAGAATTTTTAATGAGTATTTCACGTCCATTTTTCACAATTGCAATCAGAATCAAGGCAGTAGAGATGCATGAAACTAAATTTATTTATAACGTTTATTTAACACATGAAAGCCTGTCATAATCACAAACATATGGAATATAAGTTGAACAATGACCTTTTATAATAAAAATAATATTTCACAATTTCAACACGGAATGTATACACCGATAATAATCTATGAATTAAAACTACTTGAATACATAAATCACTTATCAAAAAAATTTACAGCATACCTGCAATTCACTACCACTATTAATATGACGTTGTAGTAATTTTAATACATCTTGAATTAGTTTAAACCAACATTCACAGAGTGCAGAGCTTTCAAATAAGAGAAATAATGGAGCGCTCGGAAGATAATCATCCACAACAACCTAATAAATATAAAAACATTGTAAATTATAAGATAGATTAATTTAACAATCCCAGTAGGTTGGTGTGTTGAGAAAAATCAAACAACACAAGTACTCCGAGATTAATACACAGTAGTCGATGTGATGTACAAGCTACATTACAATATATTAAAAGATTAGTCATTAAAGAAAATCAAAAAATCCAACTAAGAATATTTCAAGTCGCTAGAATTTGTAGACTGCTTCATTATCGTTGAAACAAGATACATAAACATTTTCTGTTAAACAGTCAGTTAATGAATAATATATATATTCGATATTTTTCGCCTTTCCTCACTATGTAGGAATACTTTTTCTTGAGATATATGTACTAAAAGACCGGGTTAGTAGTGACGATCTTGTTGACCTGAAGATGAGGAATATGATATGAAATGAAGGAATAAATTCGTAAACCAAAAACTACACTACATTACTGAAATGCAAGCAATCATTTAATTTACAATGAATACAACTGTAGCATACATCCAAAATTATTCACACAATAAGGTGGAAAAAAAGCTACAGGAAGAAGGTAGGAAGTTTTACCATCAATCAGAGCACGTTAATAAATATGTTGTACTTGTCCAATAAAACTCAGGTATTGAAAGCGATTTATGTTTGTACCAATCTTACTCCCGAATTTATCAACGGGATTTATTGATCTTCCAGATGACTGGACTAAGGAGAATTTTATGTACCGACGAGAATAATGGTAAATGTTGGGCTATTAGTATACATGTATTTCTATTGTATAACTAGTAAGTAACTAAACTATGAATATTCATATTCCTCTTATCATAAGCTTTATTTTAACCTATAGACTATTATTATACGATTTACCATCCTTAAGTTATGCCCAGTTTATTAATTACATTCTCCCATAATTACAGCCACTTTTGGCTAGAACTTTACAAATGTTAGTTTCTATTTTATGGTGTGTATAAACGCAGTATCTTTGAAACATATGATTCATATAGCGGAGGCTGATATTTGCATGCTGGACTGAACAACCAGGAAGAAGGACTCGAGATTGCCCGTACGGGTTTGTGTGTCATTGGTCGATAAGTCGTTGTTCTTTAATTGGCAGTATCATTACGTTATAACAGAGAATGCAACTGATAATTAAGTAGAAGCTGATCTAAGAAGACATGAAATAAAACCTGAAATGACGTCAACAGATTTATGAATGCCACTATACTAAATCAAAGATATGTTGGGGAAGGCAGAAAAATAAATCATACATTTTGCCTAGGGATATTATATTGTCAGATGACTTGTTTAATAGTGATTTTACACAAAGTATGATAACTGAAACCTATCGCAATAAAGCACTTCCATTACATGAAGAAAACACCGTTCTAAATGTAAAAGAGATAAGTATAAAAAAATACCTTCAATATTTTTGGGATATCTTGCTGCTTTGCATGGATTACATCAGATGCGGTTACATAAGATACAGAAAAACCAGAACTACGTAAATCTACAATTCGACTTGGACTGTTCGACTGGAACATGGGATTTGTGGACGTATTTAATGAACTCAAAGAAACATTATGACTATTTGATAAATGGAAATTTTGAAAAGTTGGAGATAACGAATTGCCACTTCCGTTTAAAGCTGCAATATTTGACGATTCCGAAACAATCTTTATTCAAATAAAGAAATAAACGAATAAAACGATAGGTTCATAAGAAATTTTAGCTTCATAATGAATTTATTACTTAATACTATGCTACAGTGAAGAACTGATGGATAAACATAGGAAAAGAAGCAAACTTTTAAACACAAGACAGTAATCAGAACACCTGAAAATTTTGCGCATGTCTTTTTATTTTTGACTCCTGTGCTGACAAATGGAAATGACAAAAAGAAGAGCAGGAAAAAGATTAAGTAAATATAAAGTCAGATTACAACAAAATGGGTATTGGTCAGATTCTTTGCTTCATTAATTATTCCAAGCTTAGAGATAAGTCTGAACAGATGAAAGTGAATGATTTATCAAAATGTTGGCGGAAAAACACATGTGATCGAATCTACATAAATATATCGTGATAATTTACTTGCACGAAAAAAATTGACAAACTACCAATTCAATAACAGTTAATTGTTTAAAGTTCACAAATATCGTAGTCCAATCCAACTGCATAATACAACTAATTCATTTTATAGACATACTTGACTAGCATTCACACATAATTTTAATTGACAGATTTTAAGAACAAATAAAAGTGCAAGGCAGAATCTACTTTATGGCCATTTGATTGCACGACTTTTTTTCCATACAATCATGTAAATGAATAAAATTATCCGATAAATAAAACATAAACTTTACGCACTGGATTATTCTGGTAAATTGAATTATGACGAAAATTCTTAGAAAGTAAACGTTTAACATTAAGGTGAAACAGTCATTTAAGTTAATATATTTATCAAGTTGATCGAAAAAACACATAAACATTAAAATTTAGATGTATTTATTAAGCTGTGCAGTATCTTCACTCTGAACTTGCTATCGACTCAGAATACACAGATGACATAGTCCTGTTTGGTGAAGACGCTGATGAAATTCAGTCTTTCAGTAACACTAAGCAACAATGCCAGAATGTTTGGAATGCCCTTCTCTCCCTCTAAATGTGTTCAGATACATTTGATTGTCCAGCCTTATGTTTTCGTTCACTACAGCATTAATCGAAGATAGCTTAAAAACGTCGTACATTAAGTTATCTATTAGGAATATTTTCTGAACTTGTAAAAACAAATTATAAGCTAATACAAGTCAGTGAGTAGGGACGCTGATAAGATGCAGAGTCTTCTGGTGGCACTAAGCAACAATTCCAGAATGTTTGGAATGCGCTTCTCTCCCTGTAAATGAAAGTTGTTGCTTCAGGACTGGTCTGCGTCAATACTTGAACTAAGAATAGGGAGTGAAGTGGTCAGACGCGTTGGGAACTTCATTGATTTTGAAAGTCTGGTCAGCCTTAATAGGTTGGTGTCTGACAAAATCTCAGCAAGGATTCGAAAAGCTCGTTTGGCTTTTGCCAACTTACATCATCTATGGCGAAGGCGAGATATCCGTCTATCAATCGAAGGACGAGTACACTGCACGGCAGTTCGTTCTGTTCTACTTTACGGCTGCTAAACGTGGCCAGTAAGGGTAGGAGATGCTCGTAAGCTACTAGTGTTCGATCACAGATGCCTTAGAAATTTTGCTCGCATCTGCTGAGATCACTGGGTAAGTAATAGTGAAGTTAGACGCATGGTATTAGGAAATGATGGTAAGTCAGTTGATGAGGTTGTAAATTTTCCTCAACTAAGATGGTTGGACCACGTGTCATGTATGCCTGAACACCGATTACCACGACGTACAATGCTAACAGGTTGGGAATAGTTGGAAGAATGTTAGGGGCGACCAAACCAAAACGTGGCATCAGTCCATAAAGTCACCAACTTCTGATCTGAGCCATGTTGGTAGATGTAGACTACTTGGTTGGGGTCCGCGTGACTATCGCGACCAATGGTTGGAGACTGTGGGTGACATGGCTCAGAATTAGAACTACTTTATACCTTACTAAGAGCTCATTCTTTCTTCCTGTACTATATCCATATATGAAATCTTTCTTTTATATTATTACCACCATTGAATTAACTACTTCTGTGAATCCGGTGTTCATCTTGCTGTGCTAATGCGGTATGGCAACTTGGACTGATACATATATGTGCCTGGTCCTACGTTGTAGCTGACGGAATTTGTTATTCAAAAATAATATCGACTCTGGGATGCAGATAAACCCAGCTGACGAATTCAGAATAATAGGAAACGTGCAACCTCGATTCCACTGCTGGTCACCATCTATCTCTGCTTATAATTAATTATCTGGGTTTTTTTCAATAACGAATTTAAAGGCATTGGCGTTTGTTGAACAGCCATGCCTAAGCTAATAGAAATAAGGCAATTTGCAGATTATTATAGATAACATAAAGAAACTTCAGTAAAGTATAAATCTAAAATTAATTGCATTACAGAATTGTAAAACTAAATATGAATATAAGGCAAAGTTACTCATTTGTAGAGCTAGCATTACTTGACCGAATAATGTGCCTATTATGTAGGATATACAAATAGACCATATACTTATAACAGGAAATAAATTTCTCCTTAATAGTCCATTTTGTTTTGCTTTTTTCAACAAATTTTCAGTGTAAACGATACAAAGGTTAACATAGATTGAAACAAAAGATATGAACCACATCTTTAAGTCATTTATATAGACTCTTAAAAATAAAGAAATACTTACATCGTAAAAGAATAAGCGCTTATCAGATAAAAACACACGATATTTCATCCATCCACGTTTGATTCCACCTAGTTTGGGCATCTAGATATTTAGAAGTAACAACAAAAGCGAGCACGTAGTCAGATGAATTTTTCAAGAATAGTATGGTTAGCAAATCCATGATAAATTATTCAAAGAAACAGAAAGAAAATCACTGATGTTAACAAAAGTAGAATCTCTACAAAATATTAAGATGAAAAATAACATAAATAAAGGAAACTTTAGGAGATACGAAACTGATTTTCATCAACTACGTAGAATGTACCATACAACTCATTCCGTTTCTTCTGAAAATGAGAGTGATTACGAGAGTAGAAGCTGTAAAGAGACTGTAATTTCAGTTTTATAAATTCAGCTTTAAGAAAATATACCTTAAATTTTAACAGTGAACTATTTTGTTCCTATTAATGACTCTGATAAAACAATATAACTTTCAAAGTATGCCTATTGATCCCCATAAAAAATGAGAAATAAAGTGGATAGAACGGAAAAATCTCGATACTGAATTCCAGTCAAGCAATTAAAAACTTATTAACTAGGTGAGTCTTATATTATAAAGCTGAGAGGTTGCATGCTTGTGTCACGTAATTTGATTTACAGAATGAGACCAATCATACAGCAACTGTACTTAAAACTATACTTAAAGTTAATATAAACCTCCAAAGTATTAACCTGAATCGTCGTAATCAACATAACTGGTTTGAGGTAAGTAAAAGATTAAACAGATATTGGAATAATACAAAAACACAGAAATTATCGAATAGTTGCAAAATTCACCTTTACATCACTTTCAAAATCAGCACCAAAACCATGTGAACCATCTAAAATAAACCAAAGAACAATAATCAGATGAATAAATTCCAATTAATTATAAACTTGAAAAGTTCAGTTTTATGATCTACGCAAAGTGACTTTGAGATAACTGGGGACTGAAAATCAGTCATATTTAATTCCAAAAGATAGTCGATACATCTAATTGTAGATTTTAGGAGTAAAGACTTGAAATATATAAGTGGAACAATTGTGTTCCTCTTTCATATTCCTCGAAAACCTGAGCTTTTATATAACTCTAAAGTTCATATTTCCCTTATTTATTGGTTCATGTCGATCTACATCATCAATTATTATAAAAAATTTACGAGGATTTTGTGAATTCTATAGTCAACATTACGGACTAACTTTAGTTTGACAACTATTGAAGGTCAGGCAAAAGTGAACAATTGTTTCATCTTAGGATGGGATTACCCTGAAGTATCCATCATCAACAGTCACCAGGAATCGAATCAATGAGTTGGCAGTTTCACAAAATCATTTATTGGGTTTCGAGATTCTTTCGCACAATTTAGTGATAACACATGTCTGACAACAAACATTTTGACTAGGTACGTATGAACGGATTTAAACAATTTTCACCAGATTATTAGGTACAAATGAAAAGGAAACCTCCCAACTCCATTAAATAAATAAGAATGAAAACCTAGATATTGAATCACATGAAAAGTTTTAATAATTATATTTTTAAAATCAAACCAACCAATACAATTCGAATTAGGCGCAGCACAAACAATATGTACAGACATGCGACACCGATGATGGCACTTTAATTGACAATCTTGACATTGAACGCCTTGCCACTTCTGACCTAGTATCAAACTGCCACAAACGTGACATTTTGTTGGTTGTAAAAACGTGACGAAAGTAAATTTGTGTGTCGAAGTAGATGTTTGAGACGCTCCAGAAGCATCTAAAGTAGTCCAAGAGTTTTGTCCTGGTGTTGATGTATATGGGCTATTAATATCAAGTGAAGGGAGAGATCGTCTGTTATCCATTGCGTTCTTTTCCGAAGTTGCTTTCTAAAAAAATAAGATAACTATCAGTTAAACATTTCTTTTAGGAAATTTCAACAACAATATACAAATAACCTGAACAACGAATGCTTTCAGAGTGAATTCTATTCAAAACAATCTTGTAGCTAGTTGTAAGCTATGTACAAAAGACGTTTTGAAAGAATTTCAAACACATAACCTAAATTGGATTCCTGTTAAACTATCCAAAGTTCATAAATCGGAACCGGGTAAATTATTTTACAACTCAACAAGTTGTAGAGACGAAAAATGATTTATTCATCATCGATCGAAATAAATTTACAGTTCTATAAGTCTAAACATGTATTACACAATATGATACACAAATGTAAAGTTTTTCTCGAATGAGTAATCAATTCCCGGAACCTACTTATGAAAGTGCCTGGTCCTTCTAATGCATTTAGAAGAGTATCGAACAAGTGCTTAGATCAACTGTATTTCATTCAATGAACGTCGTAAATAATGTGGGAATATTACTTTTCTTAATTGAATACATGGCATAAAATTGTAAACTAGAATAGGAAATAAAAATCGACCTTAAAATAGAATTAGAAATCGATATGTAACAGTAGTAAGACGATCAGAAGTGGACATTTGTTAGAACAAAAAAATTATGAAGTAAGATATGTATGAAATCAAAATAACAAACAACTAAAGACATTGTAAATGAACTTTATTTGTGGTATGAAAGTAGAGAAAGAGAAAGTGAAAAATCAAGAATTCTTTACGATAAAAGTCACAATGGCCCATTTTACAACAAAATTTTATAAACATTTATTTATATTAATTAGAATATTTCTTAACCAACAAAATAATATTTGATTGTGGTAGATACACGATTATTGTATGTCAATCGGAAAATAAAGTAACTATGACAGGACTGAATAAATGACAAAATGGAGGAAAGAAATCTAATATTATTTTCAGACAATTAAAGAACTAATGATTATTAGCAGTTAAAAATGACGAATTATTTGCCATTACCACTGAAGATACCTTGTATGTGTGTGTGAGAGATAAAATGAGGGTGAAGTATGATTTTCATATATAAATCAATGTAACTAGGTTTTATTGTTTTTTATCTATATTCGATTAAAGGAGAAAGTAGTGATGGTTAAAAGTAGCATGTATACAATGTCTAGTGTAAGTGACCAATAGATGTAGTGTATGATGAAACGTGGTCAGATGGCAAAAATAAGAAATATTTTTTAACGCAAAATGGTTATCAATATTTTACTGCAAACCAAAGCAAATATGTGGAAATTGTAATGTTTACTTCATGTCTACGAACGTTTGGAGAACTATCTTAAACGTTAATTCTTATCATAAATACTTAAAATAGAATGATTAGTTATATGCTTTGTAATTCCTAATCAGATTAGCTTTGTCTCACATACATGTACATTAATATTTTGTAATAAGGATGTAGTCATATAGTCATTTGTTTAACTACTCCGATTATGGGACAGTTGGTGACAGTGGTAATAAACAGCAAAAAAACATAAGACCTGGTACAAAATACTTAACATCAACTGATTGGCAAACCAAACATTATTGCAAAAAATAAGAAAATATATACATATAATAATTAATAATAATAATAATATTGATTAAGAGCATGAAAACACGACAAATGGAGAAGTATGCTATGAAAAGATTCATATGGCTGAAAATAGTAGTAACTAACCGGCATAAAATTGACTGCATCGTTGACGGTCTAACAGTAAGAAAAAAAGAGAAAACGAAAGAAATATTTAGCACGGATATTGATACCGTCAAAACAACAAGAACGTTTACAAATGAAATACCGTATACATAGTAATTCCGTAAGTAGGTAGTATGGATAAAACAAAATGCACTTTGATCGGAATACATAATAAAATTGAAAAATAAGAATCTAAGAATAAGATGGGTTAAAACTAGTAAAATGATGTTCAGATGAGATAAGAGAGTAAAATTTGTCTGTCCTTGACCTAATTCCAAGAATAATGAACAGTGTTAACAGAATTGTTTAGGCATGTGAATATGTGTAATCTATTAACTATCAACGAAAAATTCAAACAAAACATTGTGAATTTAAATTATTAAGCAAAATGAAGATAACAGTATTAATTGCTTGGCAAAACTGCGTTTTCATCAAACCCATTAGGTAAGAGCTACTAAAGAGGAAATATTCAAATGATTCTTGTTATTTTTGTTATATCCAAATGAGTGGCAAAGTTGTATTTATTGTTATTTTTGTTGGAGTTTGCGCTAGGAGCTCAAATGTACAGTTGTATGTACTCTCATATGAAAATTCATTTTTGTTGCAGTTTTGAGAGCAAAATAACATCACAATGATAAAGAAGTCTTCAATATCATTAACGCTTTTGGCTTGAGGCATGCTAAACATAATTATGGTGTGAACAAACAGTTAGGTACACATGAAATTGACCCAATAACATGAAGTCAGATACATTGTGATACGCTGCAAGTAACAACAGGTTTGGTCAGCATTGACTACTAACAACTAATTAAATGTTAATTCAGTTACTCCAAACTATTATGCCACATCACACAGTCTAGCTTCAAGGTTCTTTTACTCCATAGAATCACAGTAACATCAATTTTGAAATACAATATTCAAAGGATAGAAAAGAATAATAATTCAACACTAATCCCTAAACTAGATGATAAATTCTTGATTTTAAAATTTTGATTCACTATATAAACATTTATGAAATTAAGCAGTAACAACTATATATGCACATGTGCAGGAAGGAACAAATACAATGAACATTCGATTCCAGTTACATTCTATATCAGTTATGCACAGTTAGCATCAAAAACTGATCTTAGTTCAGCAATCATTGAGAGCCAGGAAACACTGGACAATTGTCCCGTCCTAATATGGCAATCCTCGACAGAACTCATCCACAACCCCGTCAACAGAAATCGAACCCAAGATCTACAGTTCTCACAGCGAACGCTTAAAGTTTAGAGTTATAAGTCACCATACAATGATTTACATGTTTAACTTCAATCAATTGTTAATATCGTCTAATCATCTGCTAATGCATTATGTGGGTAACTGCCTCACACTGACAGGTTTAAATTACGCTGATGACGACTTCACACCACGACTTCAGAATTAATCCTCGGATGATTATAGTCAATACATAAGGGTCCTGTGAATCAATAAACGATGTTAACTATAATGCTAGAAGAGATAAGAAGGAGGCTCTCAGTCCCCGGTTATCCACGCCGTGAAAGAACATTTCTTATAGAGATGTAAACAGGAAATTTGGTAGTGGTAGTACTGACTTTGGAGAGTGGCCAGATAGACAACAGTTTGAGTCGTATTAAACACATCCCATCTAGGAGTTTTTGGTGTATCAACTCTTTACCTCAAAACAGCTTGCCATCAGAGATGAAAATCCGTCGAGTAAAGTGAAATGTGACATTACAAGGTCAAACTATCCCATCCCTTTCTTCTGTTGTAAGAAGCCAGAATTGTTGAGGATACTCGTTACCGAACGGAAACACCTTACTCTCATCACACCTCAGTAAAGTTAGCAGTACGACTTCACCCTTGCACCATGTGTTCACTGCATTTAGTCGCACCGCTTCTCGACTGACCTGTCTAATATGGTATGATCTCAATGAACAATATATCCGGCCAAAATAGATCGTCCGGATAATTAAGATTGGCAAGCCCAACCACTAAATCAATGTGGTTGCTGAGGTGGCGATATATATATCATTAATGTGTGGTCTCTCATAGTACAACGTAAAATAGTGTCACCCAGTTAAAGGAGTGATTTTTCAGTGTCACAGTCACATAAAAAGACAGAATGCGATAACCGGTTCCAATATTAAGAAAGAAAATCAGGAATAAGTGAAGGATATTCACCTAAGACGATTATTTTATGCCTCAATGAATTCAAGAAAGAACCATGTATAATATGAAGCTTAATATAAAACGTAAGACAGAAAGGGTGCTAGGCAAAATAGCTTATTTAAACTTTACATTAAAAGAAACATTCCCAAATCCTGGAAACTACAGCGAAGTCACAAAAAAAAATCATAATAAATATAAGATTAACATCAATAACATTTTACACACGAAGTATATTCTATCTTGTAGTTACAATCATTTCTTCACTGAATGACTGACTTGGTAAGATTTAACATATATCCTAAGTATATAGCTTCATCAATTATGACACTGATCTATGTACAGTTGGTGCTTTAAAGGAAATATGGAAGTTCCAATATTGCATGGAGCTTGATCAGATTGGAAATCTCATTTTAATAGGTAGGTAGGTGTTCAAACAGAATTCAGCTTCTCATGAAGTAATCAAAACAATGGCTCAGAAATCTAAACACTACTTTAGCTGAATAAATGTAAGTTTATAAAACTTTTAAAAATATGACACAAATAATAGATACATCTAAACAAATAACACCGGCTTTCATCTGTGTACCCTCAAGTCTTAGCGGCACAAAATAGCACACTGTGATGCCGTTTACTAAATTACACAAAATAAATCTTAAATTTGTTTGAAAACTTTTATTCTTGAAACTGTGCATATATATACACAAAACAGACGAAATACATGTATTATACTGGTTTATTTCATGGTTAAATGTAGAACAGAATAGAAGTAATTATAGGCAGAGATGGACAGAGGTAAGTAGTGGAATCCAGGATACACGTTTCGTCCTATTTTGGACTCACTAGCTGGATATACCTCCAACCCCGCCTGAAGTCACAAACAGTATAAGCAGAGATGGATTGAAGTAATCGCCTGGAGTGAAAATCAACTTCGAGATGCAGGTACATCTGGCTGATAAGTCCCAGATAGGACGAAACATTCGTTTTAGATTCCACTGCAGGCTACCATCTCTGATTATAATGTTTGTGACTTAAGGTAATATCGAAGCAGTGCATGCAGGATCCACATATACTAATAGGAGATTGATCAATCGCAGTCTTAAACGTCAAGCGGAAGACTCAAACAACCAACAAAAAAGAATAAAAGCAAATTTTCAAATCCTTATATACTTCGTAATATCACAATGACTAACAAATGTGAAGCAATTTATATGAGCAATTTTACCTAATTGATGAGATAAACAACGACATGGAATTATATCTTTTCAAACTCAAGTATTAATTGAAACAATCACGAGGATTTTCGGACTGAATAATCTGTAATCATTGGAAATCTTTACAACATTTTCATTTCACTTTGTATGAAGTATTCTTATGTCCGTCAGTCAGTAACAACGTAGAACTTCGTACGTACGTACATTAGTTCGAGTTGCCACACTACATTAGCATAGAGATAAAGTGGTCGACTCAAATTCCGTAGTGTAGATGTAGTAAAATTATAAGCTGTAATCAGAAAAATTAGGGTTTCAAGATGTTATTTAAAGAATATAATCCAGCGAAATAAATTTGGAAAGAGAAAAAAGTACGTGAAGAATTTAGAAGATTAGAATTTGGGAGAACACAAGGGTGGATGCGCCTGCGCCATTGCAAACGATTTTGAGCCATGTCATTCAGGGTCTCTAACCATCGGTTGCTATCATCTCGCGGTCCCCAACCAGGTAGTCTACACCTACTGACATGACTCAGACCACTTGTTAGTGACTTCATGGACTTGTGCCATGTTTTGGTCTGGCCTCCCCTAGCTTTCTTCCAATCTACTCCGACACAACAAAACATCGCACGTCGAGGCAGTCGGTCGTTGGGCATACGCAACAAATTTCCCAGCCATCTCAACTGATGAAGTTTCACTACGTCATCAATTGATTTGCCATCCTTACATAGTACCCGTTTCCTAACAACTGCACTACTTACTCGATGGTCCCAGGATATACGAGCAATATTTCGAAGACACCTATGATCAAATACTAGTAACGTATGAATATCCTCTACTCTTACCGGCCATGTTTCACTGCCATAAAGCATGTCAACTTAGTGTACAAAATCTTCGTTATAAAAAAAAGACTACCTGTGAAACGAAAACACTATACATCGAGCATATTATTATCATAGTATATTGCTAAACTTACGTCATTATTCATACGACATAAACGTGCCTGGTTGGAGGCTGAAATTGTGTAGAAAGAATTTGGGTAAAAATTAAAATGATTATTTACATTGGTAAACTGTTAGTTAAATAACATATAAATGATAAAACAAACATTATGTTACGAAAAAACAGAAATTGAGTAGGATTTGAAAAAAATTATCAGTTACTTAGTTATCATTACTTTAGGAATTCTCCAATGAATGTTGTTACAAATAAAAATGTGCTTCAATTAGGTGTATCGACTTTCTTATATTCTAGGTAATGATATGCTGAAATACTGACTTTTTATTATACGATAAGAAATCATAGACATTCAATAATCATATCAAAGTCTAAGCGCCAGGTTACGAGCGGTTTCATCTAGAGTCAGCGAAACCATACAGATTCTAGAATTTTGTAACCTGGAATAGCATTCTACCCACGTGAAAATATTATCGAAAGTTGGGATCTCCAAAAAAATTATCGTCTAAATGACTGTAAGTGGATAAATTAATAAAAGACCTAAACATCGGATAAAATCAGTATTAGTCTAATCAGTAAAAGCATCGCGAAACTAGATATTTGTCCTAAAAATTCAGCTTGAGTGTAGAATATACGAAATGCATAATTTTGTCAGTATAACAAATAGAAAACTACTAATTGAGTGATTTTCAACAATCTGACTAATCACACTTGATGTAATCTTCATACATCAAATAGAAATAGTAATAACACATGAACTAATTATATCGACCCAGTTTTGTTTTGTAATTTAATTTCGTTCCTACACCCTTAGTCAAAACATAGACAGTCAATAAACCAGAATAATGTTTAACTTCAACAAAAATAGTCCGATTTCTTTTTCAGTCATCAAAGAAAACAAACAAATCAATTTTTTTATGACATAATTCTAATGTTAAACCAGAATAAAAATGAGTTTTTCAATCAGTGTTAAAAACTTTTCTACTTTTAGGTAAACGATTTTGAGACAATTTATGGTGTTTTTTAACAAGTTTCAAATTAATGACACTAAGATTGAAAATGAAAGAAATATAGAAAATAACCAAGAGGGATAAATACATACGTATAAACAATGAATATAAAAATGAATGTGGATAGAATTAAAATAATTAAGCGTAATTCGATGTAAAACTCACCTTCAAGTAATTGAGCATTGAGATGTTCAATAATACGATCTTGTTCCTTAATTTTCAAATCTTTTTGATTAGTCTGACTAAACAAAATCCATTGAAAGAAAAACACGAAGTTTACAACGAATAATACTTACGAAGTTTTTTATATTTTAAAATAAGTAACTGTAGACGATACTCTAAATTATTATATGGATAACAAGGAGAAATAAACTAGTCCCTTGTAAAAAATTTTGTACTGGATTGTTAGCATACTAAGTTTTAGCCGATATAGATCTTAAAATTCTACTGATGTGTGACGACAATTAAACCCTGAAATAACAATAGCCATGTCGCTACCAAAATTGTATATGCATAACATGTCAGTTGTTGATATCGTTGGAAAAAGTGTTTTTAAAGTGAATCAACTACTAAGAGGTGAGGTATTTATTTAGATGTAAAATAAAAGAAACTGAGTAAGGAAGAAAAGAAATATATTTTTAGTAAGCAACTTATTAAATATTTATTATTGGTTGAAATCGTGGATGCGCACTGCTGAGGAGTCCCATACTAGGACGAAACGGCCGCCCAGTGCTTCCAGGTTTTCCATAGTGGTCTAGCTTCAATTGACTCATGATTTCAACCAGTGAAATTTCTAAAAATCTCCACAAAACCCATTCTGAAAATATTTATTAGTTTAACGTTAGATTTGCATTTCGGAAAGATTTTGTCATTTTACGTTATCTGAGCTGGAAAATCTTTTACATGTTTTAGATGATAACATTGATTAGAATAATAAGAAAATAAGCTACGATAATGAATCATTCTCCATTAAGAACATGAAATTACAAAAGAGGAAAGTAGATGTTCAAAACGTGTAATATTATCTATTTTATTTGGCTTCTCACGCATAGAAACACCCTCTATTCGTTAAATATCTTCCGAATTGATCATTATACAAGTAATTTACGTCCACTAACTGAAGCAATTTGTTCAGGCTCAAAACACTACTTGACATAAAAATCATTTTAAAACATAAATAAACACGAAATTTTGAATTATTTCTTGATACAGACAATAAAATTTATCGTAGACGAACAAGAAGTTTAACATAAATAATTTTTTTAAGCAATACAAAAAGCTGATAACGAATTCACAAATGTGTAAAAAGCAAAATGAACGGACACAAACAGCAGAACACATAACTAAAGTCACTAACAAGAATGAGAAAGAAACATCAATGGGAAATATAATATAACTCTATTACGGTAGTTTTCTAAACGATGGAAAAACTAAGACAGAGGACATGAATCGGTCGACAGAAATGATGATTACTCGATTGTAAAAAAGAAACTTAGCAAAGTGTAGCAATTATGCGCTTGCATAGTTAAAAAGGACATGACCTGAAACATCTATTTGATATATAGACGCGCAAACGATAATGATATTCCAACAATCTAAACTATACACACACATTAACCAACTATATACAACACACAATTTTACTAATGGGATGATACAATAGTTACAAAAATCTATTCACTTTATTTAAATTAAGCGAGACATTAAGTAGTAGTACAACTCGAAAGTAGCTCTAGTATGAAATAAGTAAAACATAATATAAATAAGAACTATAATAATCAATGCACACATGATTCATTTTATCACTAAGCTATATTTACATAAGCTTAAATAAAAACAATTGCATATATATATATATATATATATATATATATATATATATATATATATATATATATATATATATATATACACCAACCAAGTAATCATACAAAACATGTGTTAAACAGCACAAGCCAACTACTACCTATTACCTTATCAAATGAATATTTGTCACATGCAAACAGAAACATGTTCAAACAGTAAAACAAACAATAGTAGTAAAAATAGTCGAATGCAGATTTGTAAAAAAAAAGGAAAGCCTAAAATCACAAATACATATACACTGAGATGAGGTGCTTATTCTTCGGTAGTTGAAGTATTGAAATGTTACGTGATAAGAAAGAAATATAAATTGTATATTGACATTTAATAAATGAATTAGAGTTTGTAAAATCGATGAGTAATTTATGACACAATTATTCATATTTGCTGATTGACAGGATGCCAAAAAATAAGAAAAGGAATATTGAAACAGTAATTTGTCATGTTAAAAATACCACACCTACTTAATACTGCGAAATAGACCATGAACAAACAAGAGGAACAAAATAATATGCTAGTAGGGTATGCATAAAGTAAATAGTGATAAATAAGAGGATTTTACGAAAGCGAATCACCGTATTCACTGTATACACCTTGTCGTTCCTATGCTGACAATGTAAATATTAGAATGTCTCATGTCAGAGATAAATTGGGAGCTGATTTCGAAAATGAAACATGTTCGCGTTTAAACATCATTTTCGTTTAACCTAAGTAAATCATTTTGCAATGAGGTTATCAATTCAATTAAACACTAAATCTAAAGTATTAATATGTGGATATTCACTGAAATGACGTAAAACGAAGTCGATACTAACGGTTAGACTCTAAAATGAGTCATGAGACTCTATTTAACTAGAATAAAACGGAATGTATCCGGCATACAAAAAGATCATGTTATACATATTTTTTTTAAAAACTAGAGAAAACAGTGCATCACTTACTCATACATCTCTTTCAAACGAACCTCAACTTCTTGCAGACGGAGTTCTGCTTGTTCCCTCGCTTTTACTTCATTATTTAAAGCTACCTCATGACTCCATCTTTCCATTTTATTTAACTTCGTAGATTTACGTTGACGCCAGTCCAGTGTGTTCTCAACAATAACACTTTGTGCAGGACTGTCATAAGCTAAAGAATTCACATCGTTTGGACGCCATGATGATTGATAACCATTCGGGCACACACCATTCTGATTATAATCTTGTACCAAACCTGAAGCACGAAGTGTATCCAATTCAGACACTAAACGCATTGTGAAATTCTATGCAGGCAAAAACATTAAGTGAATACATCCAATGAACCATACTCTTTATAACAACATATGAATAATAATTAGAAATATTTAGTACTAATAAACTGTCAACTCCGCCTGTAGCTCTAACAGGGTTACTGCCGGTCCCAAGCCCGGATAAAGGAGGAGGGTTGGGCATGGGGTTAGCGTCCCCATCCCGTAGAAAACTAACTCGCTAAAAAAACGCTTACCAGAAAAAATAATCCAAACCATTTAAACTCTGCCCTGGGAGTTAGAAGGTCTTCAGTTAGAAGAATTATGACGCTTCATGGTGAAAGCCGAGTTCCTTCGGAAGCCACGAGGCCGATGCCCCTTCTAACAACCAGAGCAAAAATTTTTATAGGTACATGGAACGTTCGAACAATGTGGGAAACCGGGAAGACCAGTCAAATAGCAATGGAAATGAGGAGATACAACTTAGCAGTACTGGGAATCAGCGAAACCCACTGGACCCAAGCTGGACAGAAAAGGCTAGCTACGGGAGAGATGCTGCTATACTCCGGTCACGAAGAGGAAAATGCTCCACACACTCAGGGAGTCGCTCTTATGCTGTCCAAAGTAGCACGAAATGCACTTGTAGGATGGGAGTCTCACGGATCCAGAATCATCAAAGCATCATTCAAAACAAAGAAGGAGGGGATCTTAATGAATATTATCCAATGTTATGCACCCACCAATGATAGCAACGACGACATTAAAGATCAGTTCTACGAGCGGCTGCAGTCAATCATTGAGAAATGCCGAAGAAAGGACCTAACTATTCTGATGGGAGATCTAAATGCCAAAGTCGGAATAGACAACACTGGATATGAAGATATTATGGGACGACATGGACTGGGAGAAAGAAACGAAAATGGAGAAAGATTTGCAAATCTATGTGCATTCAACAAATTGGTCATAGGAGGCACAATATTTCCACACAAGCGTATACACAAGGCTACATGGATCTCACCGGACCACACTACAGAGAACCAAATAGATCATATTTGCATCAACAAAAAATTCCGAAGGACAATGGAAGATGTGAGAACCAGGAGAGGTGCTGACGTAGCTTCAGATCACCACCTAGTTGTAGCCAATTTAAAACTGAAGCTGAAAAAGAACTGGACAAGTGGACAAACAGCACTACAAAGGTTCAATACAGCCTTCCTTCGAGATACTGACAAACTCAATGAATTCAAGATAGCTCTCAACAACAGGTTCCAAGCCTTACAAGATCTACTGAAAGAAGAAGAAACTAGTATGGAGGACAACTGGAAAGGCATCAAGGAAGCATTAACTTCAACGTGTCAAGAGGTTCTGGGCCTAAAGAAACACCATCATAAGGAATGGATCTCTATAGAAACACTGGACAAGATCAAAGAAAGGAAGAACAAGAAGGCAGCAATTAACAACAGCCGAACACGAGCAGAGAAAGTCCAAGCACAAGCTGAATACATAGAAGCAAACAAACAAGTGAAGAGGAGCATTAGAGCCGACAAGAAGAAATACGTGGAAGAACTAGCAACGACGGCAGAAAAAGCTGCTAGAGAAGGAAATATGAAACAGCTTCACGATACAACGAAGAAACTAGCAGGGAAATACAGTAAACCAGAGAGGCCGGTCAAAGACAAAGAAGGCAAGCCAATCACCGAAATTCAACAACAGCGTAACAGATGGGTAGAATACTTCGAGGAACTCCTGAATAGGCCGGCTCCAATGAATCCACCGGACATCGAAGCAGCACACATAGATCTTCCTATAGATGTCAACCCACCAACGACGGAAGAAATTAGAATGGCCGTCAGACAAATCAAGAACGGGAAAGCAGCAGGACCCGACAACATACCAGCTGAAGCACTGAAATCAGACATCGAAGCAACCACAAGCATGCTATACCTTCTATTCAAAAAGATTTGGGAGGAGGAACAAGTGCCAATGGACTGGAAAGAAGGACACCTCGTCAAGATTCCAAAGAAAGGAGATCTGAGCAAATGTGAAAACTACAGAGGCATTACACTACTGTCAATACCAGGGAAAGTCTTCAACAGAGTGTTGCTGAACCGGATGAAGGATGCAGTAGACGCCCAACTTCGAGATCAACAAGCTGGATTCCGTAAGGATCGGTCGTGCACAGACCAAATTGCAACACTACGGATCATCGTCGAACAATCAGTTGAGTGGAACTCATCACTATACATCAACTTCATTGATTATGAAAAGGCATTCGACAGTGTAGATAGGAGGACATTATGGAAACTTCTTCGACACTACGGAGTTCCTGAGAAGATTGTCAACATTATCCGGAACTCATACGACGGACTACAGTGCAAAGTAGTGCATGGAGGACAGCTGACAGATGCATTCCAAGTAAGGACTGGAGTCAGACAAGGCTGTTTACTCTCTCCCTTCCTCTTTCTTCTGGTGGTCGACTGGATTATGAAGACCTCAACATCTGAAGGAAAACACGGAATACAATGGACAGCTCAGAATCAATTAGACGATTTGGACTTCGCAGACGACCTAGCCCTCCTATCACGTACACACGAACAGATGCAGATGAAGACAGCCAGTGTAGCAGCAGTCTCTGCATCAGTAGGCCTCAGCATACACAAAGGGAAAACCAAGGTCCTCAAATTCAAGCGGAGAACAGCAATCCAATCACTCTTGATGGCGAAACTCTGGAAGATGTAGAGTCCTTCACATACCTGGGAAGCATCATCGATGAACAAGGAGGTTCAGATGCAGACGTAAAGGCGAGGATCGGCAAAGCAAGGGTCGCATTCCTACAATTGAAGAACATATGGAACTCAAAACAACTTTCAACCAATATCAAAGTGAGAATCTTCAATACGAACGTCAAGGCAGTTCTACTGTATGGAGCTGAAACTTGGAGAACTACAACAACCACCATCAAGAAAGTACAAGTATTTATAAATAGCTGCCTACGCAAGATACTCAACATCCACTGGCCGGATACCATCAGCAATAGCCTTCTGTGGGAGAGAACAAACCAACTTCCAGCTGAAGAAGAAATTAGGAAAAGACGATGGAAATGGATAGGACATACATTACGCAAATCGTCAAACTGCATCACGAGGCAAGCCCTAACTTGGAACCCTGAAGGGAAGCGAAAAAGAGGAAGGCCAAAGAACACATTGCGTCGGATAATAGAAGCAGATATGAAAAGGATGAATTACAACTGGACGGAGCTGGAAAGGATTGCCCAGGACAGGGTTGGATGGAGAATGCTGGTGAGTGGCCTATGCTCCTTCACGAGGAGTAACAGGCGTAAGTAAGTAAGTAAGTAATAAACTGTCACCTAATATAAAAGTAGTAGCCTAAGATGAAAGTTGCAGGTGTAGCATGCAATGATATATATCATTAAAAATGATTTAATGATTAGTTATCATCTAGAAGCATCAGCTTGATTTGAACCATAACTTCAAGCGATAGTATCACTAGTATTGTTAGCTAATGACAATCATTTTACTTACAAAAGGATTCGTTAAGAAATAGGATAAGTAATATAATGTTACATATTAATCAACTCATATTCATATGCTTCACTTACAGAAGGTAAGGAGGAGCAAATAATACAAAAACAAAAGCTAACGACAAGAAACGTCGTTGTAGTCTGAACAAGCCATTATATGCGCCTCAGTGATTACAGTATAAAGGGTAGGGGTTTAGTGTGAAGACCACAAAACAGGAAAACAAGCATTTTTCTAAGACACTTTTAACAAGGTACTGAACATAATTTAACAAATACTGAGTTTACGTTAGGAAGTCATAGTAAAAATGTGACAACTTGAAACATTACAACAGTAAATATAAACACAACACTTACATGCAGTTTTTCTTTAGCTTCACGTTCATCATCAACCCACTGATTTAACTCGAATAAATGGCGTTCCCAATTAGCTATATTATTTTCAAGCTCAGCATTATTCTCTTTAAGTGTGGTCAACTCATCTTCTAACGCAATAGTCTTGTGAAAGTAGAAAGAAGGAATATTGAAAAGACAGTAATATTTCATGTTGTTGAACCTTTAAGACAAGAATATACGACATGTAATAGAGAACCCCTCTTGCATTTTTAAATGGTTTCTACTTTCTAATGCATTAAAGAAATTCTTTATTGACTAAGTACAGACTTTTTTCTTTCTCTAGAATAAAGATTCTCACTTATACAAAATTACGTTCACTAAAAGTTGTTTATGTTAGGTCCCGAGAAACAATGAATGGTAACTTTGGGATCCTTTTATGGACCGATACTAAAGGTATATTTTTATCGTATAATTGTGTACGCCCTGTACTACCAGGCAACTTAACCAACGAATGAGTGAACATCTACCAACTTGGTACATAAAAGGCCAGATAAAATCTATTCGCAGTTCTATCTTGGCACATCTCATTGATAGCGGTCATATTGTAGATAAATCGAAGTCATTTCGTGTTATCTATCGTATACCTCCATCATTCCCCAACGGAGTTCGTTCCCGCCTCCTACATATAGCTGAGGCCATTGGAATTCGTACATATAACCCCAACTTATGTGTACAGAAGAAATACGTAACCCCCCTATCCCTTCCATGGCCAGTTATAACTTTAACGAATTTTTTTAATTTTATTATTATCACTATTTATTTTATTCTATTTTGTTATCATTAACCTTATTTCCACATCCATCATTTGTTTGTAATTTTCCGCCTCTTTGTATTCTTCACTATCTAATTATTTACGCACTTCTTATTACGTAATGATTTTAATGTTTTGTGATTACTATTCCTAGTCTATTTACCCATGTTTGACCTATTTCCAACGTTTAACTATTGATAAGACTTTTGTTATCGTATTTTATCTTATTATTCTTACTACTATCAGTACACCTGTTTTCCTACTATCAACTTGTATTTTTACCTATTATGTGTAGAGACTTATTCTATTTCATTGTGATTATTGACCCATATTGCCTTGATTGGTTTACATTTTCGTATAAATAGTCATGTATATTAGAGTAAAGCCTGATGACGATCTAATTGAAAACAATTGTTCACTTATATGTGTTGTTCTAATTTTCACAATGAAAAATGAATAATCAGTAGATTTTTTTGAAATTTCTTAACATTTCCCTTGACCACTGGAAACGTTTAAGAATCGCATCCTCGAAGCATCTTCGGTCTATATGCATCTCTGTAACAAGTCTTATGTGGCGAATTCCGACATGGTTGAGGTGTTTCAATGGTGCTTCACATAGAACATCTATTCGATTGAAAGGTATCTAGCAACATGTTGGATGAGTATGTCATAGAAACATAGCCTGAACTCATTATTCTCTCACTCCCAGCAGATCTAATTTTGATTGCTTGTACAGGCTATGAATGCTCCTCGTACAATATACAGAACTTTCCCAATTCTTTGTTCGATAACCCCTGATTCTTATTGAATTCAGAGTGTGACTACAAATGCCTTTTGTCTTACAAGATTATGAACAAACGTATATGGCCAGTGGCCCTCCGACTGAATAAGTGATTTAATACACTTGCTCTTACGCGAAACTATACACTATTTAATAACTGAAACAACAATACCATGCCTTGAACCAATCCGAAAGAAAATACCATATCAATATAATCGAAAAAGGAATTGAGAAAATACTTCCACGTAAAACAAATGAAGTAATATCAGTTACCTTTTGATTAACGGCTATCTTAATCTTCTCTTCTAACAACTCACGTTCTTTCATCCATTCTTTTTGTTCTGACTCCCAGCCTAATTTCAAGCTTTGTGCTTCATGTCTCATTGCTATTAGGTTTTCCATGACCCGTTTTAGCTTGGTTTCACTTTCATACAAACGTTCCCGTAGATCAGAATCTGATGAATGGTTGTTAATATGTGAATGTTGTGTTCCATTGACTAGATTGGTTGATGATGACGAAGAAGACGATGATATGGAGATATTGTGACATTTTATCCCGTTTTCTAGGCTTCTAGATTCATTTTTATGCAGTAAATCACGTACATCATTCAATACAGTATGATTATCATATTCACGATGTGAAGCCAATTCTCCACGTAATCGAGCTAACTCAGATAACAACTGATTAGTACATAAATCAAAATATACAGAAGTAGATGTAATATGAAGATGAAACTTAAAAACTATAATCAAGTCAGTAAATGAATCAAAATTATAAACAAGTAGTTAGAGATGATGAATGATGTGGTAGTAAATCACTTCAAAACTAATTACCTTCCTGTTAAGATAAATTATTTACGAGATTTTAGTACTTTTCACGAGTTTGGTTGATTTACTTTTTATTGGTGTTATCGAAAGCAAATAAATCATTTTTAGTCAACACAACATCGTGCGAAGTTTAAGTTTGTATAAACATTAAGAACCGAGGAATGAATATATTACTCTAAGTATATCAAGTTCCTAATTCTTAAAAACTTTGTAATACTTTGCTTATTTATGAGTATATACATTTCTTTTACGAAAAATATTTGAACTAGTACATTAATACAGTAATACAGCAGTTTACCTACATTATTTGCTCTTTTTGGAGATATTGTTGATTTGTACAGGAATAACAATTAACTAATTAGTTTTCTTAATATAACAAACGCAGTTAGATGTAACTAACGTACTAGGAGCTTAGGTAAGAAAAAAGGAGCTATTCACGAGAGCATGAGAAAATAGTTAGCATACTTCAGCAAGTAACTGCTCAGTGAGAAAAATGCACGAAAATTCTAATTACAATTGAATTACTTAAAATAAAATTTTGAAGACATCAAATCATATGTTAACTATGTTTATGTGTCGAAAGTAAGCGTAACTTTGTAATTTACTGGACGCGTGCAAAGTGATAACATACTAGTACTATTCGCACATTCCAAAATTATGACAGTTGTCGAAATTAAACTTGGCAGACAGTTCGAGTTAGGAAGTAACGATTATAATTTATTTACCTACATAAATGCTTCATTGATAAGGAAAGTCGAAAAGCGCAACGCTGAGAAGTGGTTACCTGATTAAGGATTTGTAGGTATGATTGTTCAAGGTGTTAGAAATAAGTAAATGCGGAAAAATATTACTAACTTCAGTCAGTCTCAACATAAATGTTATAACTGCAAGAAATAAATACCCCTACTTAATGAATTACAATGAATAAAGCTTATATGAAGGTGAGTCGATAGAACCATAATCAGATAAACGTGCACAACTGGTTTGATTTTATAGTTAAATATTACAGCAAACATCATAAAACCATTTGAAAATTTATTTTACTGAGTAACTCAAACAAATATACATGTAAAATACTTACCTCACTATGCTCTGACTCCAACAATCTGATAGCTAACTGAGCATCTGCGGCACGCTTACATAGTGTTTCATTTTCTTCTTCGAATGCCCGTACTTCAGACTGTAACTTTTCTCGTAACTCATGTTGTTCTGAGAGTCTAAAATCGGCGGCAAATATGTTGAGAAGTTCATTTACATAAGAAAAAAAATCTAGCGAATGTATGTCATTAGGTTTTGTTAGCCACTTAAGTACATAGCCAGTAATGCTTTCGAACCCGTCTTTTAATGATAAAATCACGCCCATTGGGAAAAAGAAAGCCTATAAATAGGTGAAGACTCGATCTGAAATAAACACATAGAACAGCTACATCCAATCTAACACCTTTCGAATCACCACTCTGATAAAGTTATGCTGAGAAAGCATGAACAGGTTACATGCGATCACAAGATTACATACTGAGTGAAACGCAAGTTTTGGGAACTATTAGTGATAGGAGAATTATTCACCAAGCCAAGGTGACTCTGAGCATATATTCCTGTCTGCATCAGTCCATTAACTTGTATACATACGCCAACTGTGTACATCACTATACAGCTTTTGACCCCCAGAAACTCCGTCTCCTTATTCTGAATAACTAGCTGAGCAAGCTTTAAGAAGCGTAGACAACTGAATTTGATCTAGGAACATAATAGATAGCTCCGTTTTATTAAAATGAAGAGTTGTCTGGCAGCTGCCTCCGTCCAATCAAAATTAAATAGGGCGTATAGTGATGTTCACTTACTTAAAGGCATTGGCTATATGATAAATTTGCCCCACAAAATTTGATCACAACTAAGGACTGAAAGTTGGTCACTAAAACTAGTCGATTGGTGTAGGAGTCATTTGCGATAAACTAAAAAACAAATCTCGATAACCACAAAAGGTCACTTTATACAGGAACATAATGCTTAGACAATTACCCACAAAGAAAATTGTGGACAAAATTATTGAAGAAAACGGAGGAATTGATAAAATCACTTGGTAATTATAGGAACAAAATAACACTGACAACGTAAGATGATAATACATTAGGTAAAAGCTATAATTATGTTAAAACTAAGTATCACTTATGTCTGTTGTATGAATGGTTCTGAACTGAAGGCAAAAACGGCAACTACAAATGAAATAAAAGATGAGATATTTTCCCTCGTTACATAACGGCTAAAACGAAATATTGATCAAGTGAAACGAAAATGAGAAGTAATCAAAAGCTTGGCAAATTACATAAAATATACAAGCCGAAAGAACATTTCTAACGCACAAAAAACGCCCATACTGAAACACCTGACAAGTATTGATAGCAGTTATGAATTAAGGAAATGTGTCTGTAATTGTTGATAGCTTCTAAGAATAAATGCTCTCAAGAGAAACTCAAGTGATTTTTGTTTTACTTTCAAAAACGAATGGTGATATATTGTCAGTCATTTAGTGCTAGAAAAGTTTTAGTGATGCAAAAGTCAATTAGATGTATGCTCCTATAAATTTATTTCGGGCAAAACTTCTTAAAAACTGAAATACTAATAATAATTCTATACTATGCTATACTATACTATATATACGTGTACTATGGGAAACAATATTACTTTTCATTTATGCTCATAAGATGACGATGTCACACCAACAAAGTTTTTAAAGGCAAAGGAATATCAGCACTTAGCTAATTCATTTTATAAGATTATCTTATAAGTCTTCTAAAACATGTCAATTCAGAATAACTTAGTAATAATAAAACAAGATTACACATTCGACTCTGAACACAATGTGTAAAACTGCATCATCACCCCAGATGACAGGAACATAAGTAGGTTGAGCGTAATTCGAATTAATAACTTAATTAATCAGTCGGTCATTATCAACGGAGAGTCTAGCACACAAGCGCATTGACCGAAGATCCCACACCACGACGACGAGATAAAATTAACAAGATAAATAATAAAAAGAAGGTCGAAACAATTTAGTAGCAACGACAATAAGAAAGACCAAGCAACAACAACAATATAGTTCAAAAAGACTGGGATTCAAGACCTAGATGATAAACAGTAAGTGCACCTGTACCACTAAGAATGATTGAGGTATACCATTTTATTTAGTCTTAAGTCGTCTCGGGGATCCCAACCACGTAATCTGCCTCTACACCCATGGCTCAAACCAACAGACAATAGATTCGTGGGCTGACGCCATTTACTTCTGCTATTCTCAGCTTTCTTTGAGCCTACTCATACACCAACAAACATCGCCAGTAGAGATAGGCGGCGACTGGGCAGACGTAACCCATGTCGTAACCACGTCAATCGATGAATATTCATAACCTCATAAACTAATTTGCCACCTTCCCTAAGTATCCCACGCTAGATCTCATTGACTACTTGCTTGATTCGAAAATATGTAAGATCAATAACCTGCAGCCTGCGTATGTCTGCTACTTTTAAATATTGTGTTCCACTGACATACAGTGGCATAGAATGAACTGTTGATCAGTATATTCAAACTTTCGTTGGTAGGTGGACATTACAAGGTTTACATTACAAGTAATGGAAGTTGGCAAACGCCATCCCAGTATTCTGAATCTATACAGAGATTTAGTCAGACACCAACTCACTCGAGGATGAGACTTTTAAAATAAGTGGAGCGGTTGATGCACTCAACTACTTCACTCCTTATCATTAGTTCAGGAGTTGATGCAGACCAGTCATGAAGCAATACTTTGCTTTAGAGGGAGAGAAACGTATTCCGAACATGCTTGCATTGTTGCTTAACCTAATGACTGAATGGCGAATTTTTTAAACAGTAAGGCAACGTCTCACTTCAAAAGGATACATTTGTACACACTACCATTATTGTCAGTGATACATAGTGGAGAGAACTTCCGACATAATGTCACAGTGTGAATACTGTCAGTCGTTCCTGATAACTGTTGAAAATCAGTAAGTATATTGATAAATTATTACAAATCATAAATCACAAATAAGACGACTGTAAATAGTTGGACAAAAATACTACTTTTTGGTAGAAATATACATCGAAAGGCTTACTCATTTCTAAGCAGATCTACAGTGGCTGAAATCAGTTGATTCTGGGCTTCTGATTCTTTAAGTTTCTGAGACAAAATTTCGACTTGTCGTGTCGTGGTATTAACGGTTGAAGTATCACCTGATGATACATCTTGCTTTTCCAAATTAATTGTTGTGGGGTCCGACTCCGACTTTACAGATACTTGATCACCCTTGGATTCCCGATAACACGACAACGTGCCTTTTAATTCCGTTATTTGCATCTGGAAAACAGACAACATAAATACATTCATTAATAACATGCATTATATAACATCGATAGTAAGAAAAGAACGACAGAAAAGTTGAAATAAGCATGTAAGAATGGAAAGTATGAGAATCGATGATACGTGTTCATGATCCGTAGGGAAACCAAAGGGTGTAACCGGGTAACTAGTGTCGAATTGCATTCATGAAATAAAGTCTAAAACCATAGAGAATGACTTCCTCATAGATCCTAACGCGGGTAACATTTTCACTCGATTAGACATGTGTTTTCGGGAAAACTGGTATCCTAGTTGCTATAATAATGAAACTTGTTTCTGGATTTTTATCACATGAAAATTTATTCTTTCATTTATTATGACGATCAAGATTTAACTGATCAGTGCCATTGTACATATAAACGTTTAGTATTTTAACCTGGAGATCAATAATAAAATGACCAGTTTGCCCGATCACAATTTCACAAACTGATGGTTACTTTTGTTTTAATTTGATTTAGAGATGTGTGGAGACGCATAAGAAGTATAGAGCTATTGGTTCACTTGAATACCACAAGCTAAGATAATTGTTGTCAGCATTATACATACTACGGAGATCAGAAATCTATTATCATCTTAAATATAAAAGATTAACTAGATTAACAAGTTATAACGATTACTCATACAGTAAGTAACTACAGAAAGTGATTTTTCAAGTGAAAAGAAGGTAAGTATTTTCCAATATGGTTAGATAAGTGAATCGATATAATGTACAGGTAGATGGTAATATATATTTGAGACTGAGTATTTTTTCAAAAACATTCAGAACATAACAAGCGGAAAAATGCTAAGACCAGAAATTTAGCTTGTAATGCCTCTAAATAATAATAATAATAATAATAATAATAATAATAATAATAATAATAACGAAGAAGGAGAAAAAATGTCAGTTATCCCCTTTTCAGAGAGTTTAGGAATTTTTTGTGACTTGTATACTTATTTTAGGCAAAAATAAAAAATCACAGGCATTTGACATTAGTTCGAAAGTTGCAAATATCAGTAGTTTGATAAAACAAGAATAGCCGGAACTAAAAATGTATATGTTTTGAGGAAATGAGAACTTATTGTACCACCTTTCTGAACAAATGCAATCTCAGCATGATAGTTTACATAAAACAGTTTACCCCTATCAGTATTACTTATTTATTAACACATATGAGGGTGAAATCCGGAAGTATGTGTGCTATGAAATATCACATCCGAAAATGTTTGAAAAAATTGTAAGGTGAACAAGTGATTATTTCCATATAACTAAGTTGAATGAAATACCTTCAAAAATTCTTAGTAATTAATATATTTACAATACAAAATATTATCAAAGTAATATTTGAGATTAAGTTAATTTAGAGACTGAATTTCAACATAGTATATGCGTTTATCTACATAAAATCTATGAACCAAAAGATGTACACTGATTAATAGTTGTTGACATTAGCGTTGTGGTATGCAGACATTTGAAAATAAATCTAGCATAAGTTATTATATCCAACATGTTTTGTATGCAAAGAAAGGAGCGATACATACATAGTATCATGAAATGAAATTACGTGTACACTTACTTCATAATTTTCGCATTTTGTCCTCAAACCTTCAATTACTTCAATCAGAGCTGGTTCATGTGTCTCACTACTGTACTTCGATGCATTTGAGGGGTTTAATATTTCACTATGATCAGATGGTAGATTAATATCATTTAAAACATGTGCATCAGAACTTTTAGGTTTAGAAATTTCCTCAGGACATTCCGATTTATCTTTTGATGTCATTCTATAATGTGTAGGACCTAATTCATTCAGTGGTGAGTTGTTCGTGAATGTAAATCCAATACATGCAACCTGACATCCTCGAAAAATCGGTCCCAGTGGTGGCCCTTCCTAAAATTAATTGACAGACTGATTAAGTCCCAAAAAGTCAAATAGAGATCATTTTCTTAAAATAAACATGACTAATAGAGAAATGCAGTATAAAACAATAAGTTTAAAAAGAAGTGACTTCTGCAGTCAAATATATCATATACTAAATTTAAAGGTAAGCTATCTACGACTGACTATGCTACCATCTAGCTACTTGTCACCTTTCATTTCAATTTGAAATGTTTGAAGGATACAAAGAAACCTCAAGATTACAGGTACACCTTGCTGACGAGTGCCAAGTAGCACGAAACCCGGGTCCAGGGTTTCCTGTTGACTACCTCCAACCACCATCTAATCTCAATACAAAGAAACCATTAAATCTACCAACTTACACAATGATAGATAATAATATTAAAGAATCTCTCTTTAGAAAGAAACTGATGAACTACGATGACTTGGAAGTTCTGTCATCCTGAATGTTTCGACCATCGACAAAATTAGGGATGCTGATAATCCATGATGTTTACTTAACGAACCGACTAACATGTGAAGCCATAAGTACAAGGTTTTAAAGTGACCTGGCACAACTGAGGGTTGAAAAGGTCTATTTTGTCTCAAGATATTTTTATACGACCACAGGTTTACAGCCTCTTGTAAGAGATCTTTCCACAAAAGTGAGGGGAAAGTCTCTGTAAGTTAAACACAGTCAGTGAATATAGAAGGTTCACTTATGTAAGTCGGAAAACGGCAATATTTGTTTAGGCACAGTGACGAAGTTAAGTTAATATGTGTTACTATCATAAAACATAGAATATCAGTGGCTTGAACACGTTTTGATCTCATCGGCTTCCATATCGCGCGTAGATAGTTTATGAAATGACACCATGGATGACTTTCGATATTATTTCTAACCCTATGATGATCATCTTTTTGAATTTGTTCTGACTGTAGTAAAGTAACGTGTATCAACTCAGATTGCCGCACACCCGTACCAGATCCTACATTGATGATGATTGGTTAACCGACCGTGAAATGATAGCTGAATCGGGTCAGTGTCCACTAGTTTATACTACCATATAAAATAGAATATCTATCTATATTGAGATGAATATTGTATAAAAGCAATAAATAATTTGCTACCAGTGATCGCTACAGCTGCCTGGAATTTACATCGAAAAACAATCAATTACAGCTACAAAGCATCACAACTTATTAGTCGATAACTACAGACAGCAAAGGATATTCGCCGCTAAAAGGATTTAAGTACAAAGCTAAAGATAAGCTTATTGTATTGTTCTGCACTAGTCATCCATCTAATGTCAACCACATAAATTATATTGACTTACGTGATTTCGAGAAGATTGTTCAATATCAAAATTGGAAGTGTCGTCTGGACTGGTGACTTCGGGAATGTACGGAGGATTTTCTAAGGTGAATATTTAAAAAAAACAATCATTGAAGGTTTCATTACATTCCAAGTATAATTCATGTAGTATTAACGTTCTAGCAACTACATTTGGCCTCCAAAAAGTCTGCTAAACGTACTAATGACCCTACTGGTTGTCTGATTCTCCACGTCGATGTGATGGACTGAAATTGGTCAGTCTCTTTTGGTATATGTGAATTTTGTATGGACTGCCTCTAAATTAACATTATTAAGTCACTAACATTTTAGTCAGAGTTGGATAGTGGCTGACAGTGGAACCAGGGCACGAGTTTCATCTTGTTTGAGACTCGTCAGCTGGATGTAACCACTCCATTATTGATGTTAACACCAAGTAAAACAGACGGAGCAGTCAAATTAAATATCGTGATAATATAGCACTAAAACATACAGACCATATTTAATAAGAAACATAAAAGCCTAACATTTCTCAAATATGAGATAGTTATCTAATTCAATATGTGTTGAATGAGTCCATAGTCGTTTTACAAAGTTGGTTAACTCATTGATCCGTGTTACGCTTTTGTTAGGTATTTGGTAACCATTAGGATTTGCAGTAACTGAGGTTTGAAGAATGACTGGTGATTTGTGAATACTAATGTATTATTATACTGCAAAGATACTCCACATTCCGTTCAGCAAGATTTGGGATGAAGAACAAGTACCAACAGACTGGAAAGAAGGACTTCTGATCAAAATACCAAAGAAAGGCGATCTCAGCAACTGTGATAACTACGGGGGCATTACTCTTCTCTCAATACCGGGAAAAGTCTTCAACAGGGTATTGTTAAACAGAATGAAGGACTCCGTAGATGCCCAACCTCGAGACCAACAAGCAGGATTCCGTAAGGATCAATCGCGTACAGACCAAAACACAACACAACGGATCATTGTGGAACAATCAATTGAATGGAATTCATCACTCTACATCAACTTCATTGACTACGAAAAGGCATTTGATAGCGTGGACAGAACAACACTATGGAAACTTCTTCGACACTACGGCGTGCCTCAGAAGATAGTCAATATCATACAGAACTCATATGATGGATTAAACTGCAAAATCGTCCATGGATTACAGTTGACAACGTCGTTCGAAGTAAAGACCGGTGTCAGGCAAGGTTGTTTACTCTCACCCTTTCTCTTTCTCCTGGTGATCGACTGGACCATGAAGACGTCAACATTTGGGGGAAGCATGGAATACAGTGGACAGCTAGAATGCAATTGGACGATCTAGACTTCGCAGATGATCTGGCTCTCCTATCGCACACACAACAACAAATGCAGGAAAAGACGACCAGTGCAGCGGCAGCCTCAGCAGCAGTAGGTATCAACAGACACAAAGGGAAAAGCAAGATTCTCCGATACAGCAGCATGCAACAATCAAATCACAATTGACGGAGAAGCTTTGGAATATGTAGAAACCTTTACATATGTGGGCAGCATCATTGACGAGCACGGTAGATCTGATGCAGATGTGAAGGCGTGGATCGGCAAAGTAAGAGCAGCACATTTACAACTGAAGATATAGAACTCAAAACAACTATCAACCAACACCGAGGTCAGAATTTTCAATACAAATGTCAAGACAGTTCTACTGTATGGGGCAGAAACCTGGAGAACTACGAAAGCCATCATCTAGAAGATATAAGTGTTTGGGAACAGCTTTCTACGCAAAATACTTCGGATCCGTTGGCCAGACATCATCAGCAACAACCTACTGTGAGAGAGAACAAACCAGATCCCAGTGGAGGAAGAAATCAGGAAGTGTTAGGTATGTTGAGGAATATACCAATCATTATCATGTTAAGTCAAATGATGTCCTTGGACTTTAAATGGGCATTCCCTATTGGCCATTATTTATTTCACTCGCTAAATATTGTACAGATGTTGTTTTCTATTTTTATGGTACGATGTGGTCTGTTTGGTTAGTATATAAATAGAGTATGTCTGAAATACAACGATTCATAACTCAGAGGCTGTGACTTGCGTTCTAGACTCAACTGGCTGGGCTAGACAGGGAAGCGGGACCAATCAGGATACTAGGTCGTCCTTACGTGTTTTACGTGTCACTGTAATCGATCGATATAAACGCTGCTCCATCTAAACTGCAATCCTCCCGTTACAACAGGAAGAAGCACTGGAAGTGGATAGGACACACATTGAGGAAAGCACCCAACTGCGTCACAAAGCCCCCACACGGAATCCTCAAGGCCGAAGGAGGAGAGGAAGACCAAAAAATACATTAGGCCGAAAAATGGATAGACATGAGGAGAATGAACAATTGGATCGAACTAGAAAGGAAGGTCCAGGACAGAGTAGGTTAGAGAATGCTGGTCGGAGGCGTATGCTCCATTGGGAGTAACAGGCGTAAGTAAGTGATGTATTATTATGCGGCCTATAATACTAATTTTAATATTGGTGGCGGATGGGTCCCGATATCAAGATAATCCAGCAAATCATTTGTTCCTAAACCCGAATTTGTGATCACAGATGACTATTCATTCAAAACAAGTACATCTTGTACGTGAATATAATTCGGTGAAAATGATGATCCATTTCAACCTAAATTAGACAGGAATGGATTATGAATGGTCTTGAGTGCTGTTAGAGGTATGAGAACGTTTATCACTTTCCGGTTCCCCACACCGTCGAAGGGATCTTCTAGAGATACCTGAAAAGGAAATTCAGTTAGAGTTGATCTTAGTGACCTGAGAGCGTGACCGCAGTGCCCAAGGGATAACTGCCTGAAGTCGGTCACACACGACCCTTTTGTGAGTAGTTTTTGTGTTAGCTCCGTACTTGTTGAGATCTTATCACCGGAAACGGATATCTGCGGATAAGGCGAGGTGTGTAATTTTAAGGTCGACCATTTCTAACCCCACCCTTCCTTTGTGGGAAGGTAGCATCGTTGTTATACTGGTTGTCTAAGGGGAACACCTTACTAATTCTGTACAGCCAACATTATGACTTCGCAATTGGACCTTGGGTTTGCTGTTTTTTAATCTTACAGTAATCAACCAACCTGCCTGGAGTGGTAGGACCTTGAGGAACGATTGTTCCAGCCAGCATAGGCCGGTTGGTTTATCACGATAGGCAATTCAAACCACTACATCAAGGTAGCAGAAGTGTTGCAGAAATAAATATGAACGAATTCTAATAATCTACGTATGTTTCCAAAGAATGTACACAACATACGTGCCACCATTAAGTCTTATTTCATTGATAAAATTCACTTACGATTCAAGAGATGCATGTTTTAGAGATAACCAGGCAAATGTACTTAGCAAGAAATGTAGGCACAACTAATTAAGGAAGGTCAGAATACAAACTATATGGCTAAAAGTATCAATAAAACCATGAAATAGCACCAGATGAAGGTATCTACATGAATAATCTCAGGAAAGTAAACAATGTTAATACCAGCTCCGGTATTTTAGATTTCTAAGTTTTATATTTTACCGTAACTATATAACGTGTTACTGTCAAAAGTGCTTTTTGTAAACAGATATTGTGTATTGTCCAGAACAGCTGAATTGTCAACAGTATATTTATTCAACTTGAAAAAATATTTTAAATACATATAACTTACGTTCATGAATGTGTTCCCAATCTATGCCATTAAAAAAAGCATGGCCCTTCAACTCATCTATTCCATTTCGACCAAATCTTCGTTTCCGGTCACAAATTAGATGTCGCATTAGGTCACATGCTGATTCGGAAATTTTTACACAATCAGTCGGAATGGTAAAATGTTTCTAAAAATAGATAACGACTTTATAATTTTAAAATACCTACATATATGAAGTACCTAGTAAACAGAGTATTCATGCAAATGGTGATAAAAACTACTTTGCTCTCTACCATTAGATTGATTCAGACCACTCTCGAAGTAACATTTTGCACTTAGGGAGAGAAAACTATACCCAAAACACACCTGAATTGTTTCTTGAAGTGTCCAAAAGACTACATTTAATCAACAAACAAAACCTCATCATCGGTTGCCACACTATATATGCAGTGTGATGCGATTAGATATAGGAAGGAAAAGCATAAGATTTCGAGGTGCAAGATCTAAGAGAGAAATAAGATTGAGTGCAGCTGTCACTGAGACCGATCCTGAGCTCTGTAACCAAACGTCTATAACCACTAGTCCCAGCTGCTGTGCAGACTCCAGACAGGTAGTCTTTATATGCCAACACAGCTGACTTTATGGACGGATGCCACGTTTTAGTTCGGCATACGTAATACATGTTCAAACCACCTTAGCAGACGACGATTCACTACATCAACCGATTTGCCATCCTTACCCAGTACTCTGTGTATAACGATAGCACTGCTCATTCAATGGTCGTAACATATGAGCAATACTTTGAAGATATCTATGATCGAAAAATCTGATAGGTAGCTGCGAAAACTGTTTATTTTGCGACATTGAATTGATTACGATAGACGAGACTACTTCTACACTAATCATTTTTTGCGCCGACTAGTGGGTTGTTCTTATGTGATCAAGACCCGATGAGAAGAAAAAAAAATTACATTCACGTTAATTTACACATCAATCAAACGATTATAAATTACAAAATCTTATCAACTGAGTAATTATCGCTGAACACAAAATCACAATAAAGTAGTCAATACAAGGAAAAGTGTGTAGAACATCAAATAACTGCAACTAAAACTACACTAAAAGTTAACGGCTAGAATTTACACTGAATAATCTAACCTAAAGAATGAGTTAAGAATTGATTTGATCGTAGTCATCTTAACCAATATGCAAAATTTAGATTGATCATCTTTCCAAGGTAATATGGGTATAGAGAATCACCAGAAATCCTGCACAATATACATGTCTTTTGTTTTTAAAGATTATGTTCCACTGACATACAGTGGCATAGAATGAACTGTTGATCAGTATATTCAAACTTTCGTTGGTAGGTGGACATTACAAGGTTTACATTACAAGTAATGGAAGTTGGCAAACGCCATCCCAGTATTCTGAATCTATACAGAGATTTAGTCAGACACCAACTCACTCGAGGATGAGACTTTTAAAATAAGTGGAGCGGTTGATGCACTCAACTACTTCACTCCTTATCATTAGTTCAGGAGTTGACGCAGACCAGTCATGAAGCAATATTTTGCTTTAGAGGGAGAGAAACATATTCCGAACATGCTTGCATTGTTGATGAAGGCGATCAGAAGACTGCACTTTGTTGGCGACTTCATCAAACATAAATGTCTTTTGTGTGTTCCAGGTGAACAAGTGGTTCTCCTGATGAGATCAAATCTTAAAAACTCAGATGAGTGTTATCTCTGGAAGAATATCCAAGGTAAAGTTAAATAAGAATGAAAGTGAACACCCTTAATGCTTAGATTTGATCTTCTTTAATCGATAAGTCGCATTTGAGGCATATATCAAAGATGCTGTTGACTAATACTAATTATCTGCTACCCACTTTTTCATAAAGTAATTTTTTAAAGGTTAGTACTTGTGTCTATGATGCATTTGGTCATAATTTCAGTTTGAAATTTTCGGAATTTAATTTACCTCAAAGTTCATAATGTGACTATAAGTTTCGATTAGATTTTCACTGTAGAAAGGCGTTTCGCCGAAGAGCATTTCATACATCACAACTCCGAGAGACCAGTAATCACATTCAACACCATAAGTCCCATGGCCATCTTCAGAAGCCCGCAAAATTTCTGGTGATATATAGTCTGGTGTACCGACGGCTGTATTGTTTTTCACTAGCCCATTTTCGCCAAGTTTTAAACAGGAACCAAAATCAGCAAGGACAATGTGACCTGAGCTATAGCAACAAAAAGAAGAACCTTATTGACAAGTGGTTTATGTGTAGTAGGTAGATGAACTGTTGATGTCAGTTTTAATATTATTAAACGGTAGTGTGACCACCCTCCCACAACTCATTTGATTTTCAAAAATATACAATGATACAAATCACAGTGTACTTCATCTAAAGAAATATAGCTAGCTAATCTCATAAATTTATTCTAAAAGTTAAGATACAACTGAATAAACGCGATTAATAAGTCTCAAAGATATTTAGCTATTTTGCCACGAACTTAGTTATACCAGTACATCCTGAGTCTTTGGTTAGTCGATCAAGTCTAACAAAATTGTCAATAAACGTTTTAGTGATCTAGCTACCACAAATCGTTTTAGCTCCTGATCCATTTGCATTACATGTGGACCCGAAGCAGTTCCTACACGTCGTCATGCATAAATCTGGATATCTTACGACTGATATGTTTTTGAAACAAAGATGTAAGGAATTTTTGGATCTAGGTATATGAAACGTGATTCAAAACCTATAAAAAATGAGTGATTAGAATTCCAGACTATTTTGCCAGTGTTGGTCCACATCAATGATAACAATGAAGACAAAGCATAATAAACTGACCAAATCAAGAGACGTGTAGTATGAATGAAGTGCTTGGTATCACTGGCCATGTTTAGAACCGTAGATATGCTACAACACGTCAGAAATTTATCAGGGAAATTCTCAGAACCAAACTTAATTTTTCCTCCAGGTGTCAAAGATGTAAAAAAAACTCAGGATAGACTGTACTGCTATTTTATAAATTACCAGTGAACAGACTCGGAGGTGCCATTCATCATAAAACTCACCTTTGTAGCAACACGTTATCTGGCTTTATATCTCTGTGAACATAACCCAGTTGATGCAAAGCGTCAATGGCCAAGACCATTTCAGAAACGTAGAACTGCACAATGCTTTCAGGTATCTTGTCGTCAAACTTGCTCAACATGGTAAGCATATCCCCGCCATTGTAAAAATCCATAAGAAAATACTTAGTATACCATTAGATAAAAAGCAAAGTTACCAGGAACTTTTCATCCTGAAATGTGTGGTGTAATTTGGCCAGCCACAGAGATTTACTGACCATTGCCTTAACCATCACATCACGCTCCTCTTGAAAACATGCTCTCTACAAGTATCCTAAGAAGCTTTAAATGACTTACATCTGAACGTTTAAGCATATCGTACTTATGGAGAGATTTCAAAGCATATATCTTTCCATCATTTTTCCACTTAACAACTGATACGTCTCCAAAAGCCCCTGATCCAATCAGTCTTATGGTTTCAAATTCCGACTTTGATATCCAACAACTTTCAATCTTGTCGACATACTTTTTTACTAAAGACAGTAAAAAAAACTGAAGCTTCCTACCAGCATTATAGAACTTCATGCAGTTCCTCTCATTTTTGTGTTGAGGGAGTTTGCATTCATAAGACAGGCAAACGATTGTGTCTAACAGGTATTCTACGCTAACAGAGTTGTCCTCTAGCAGGGGTGAACTTTTAGTATAAAGAGAGACAAGTTCATTAATCCTGTCGTGAAGCGTCCTCATTTATCTCTCCAGTATGTATAACAAGTCAGAAGATCCCATCATACCTCCCCAAAAGTGCAGCAGCCAATTAGAGCGCCAGAGTATGAGCAATAAGTCTATGGCGGTACCCTCAAAAATGGCATAACCTTTCAAATCAAATTCATGTTACAATATTTTAGTCTAAATTTCTTCACTCTAAAAACATGTATGTTTGTAATTATGATTTTCAAAGTGGATTAGTAAAACTTTGCTTTCTTAAATTCACCTTGTCTTTCGAAATTAGCTGAAGTTAATGTTCAGAAGTTCCTTGTTTTTTCTAAGTTTCCTCTTAAATAAACTGAGTTGTATCTAGTTTAGAGCAAACAGATACACACACATCTACCGCGGATAAGTCGAAAACATTGTGTTTTGAAATGTAATGAAGAAGAGAGGTCGATCATATAACTGTCAATCACGAGCACGCGTCAGTCCAGTCCAGACCAACGTCTGGAAAGCAAACATACCAGACATCATGCACTCAGCATCGTTAACGGATTGAACAATAGACCCAGAGTCCTCCATTGAAACGGCCTGGGACGCATTTCGAAAATCATACTTAAAAGTTACCACACCTCACATCCCTTGGACTATACCAAAGGGGCCGAAAAACTCACCACCATGGTTCAGTAGGGAGGTCCGTATCCTTCTCCGTAAGAAAAGGAAAACGTGGGATAGATTTAGGTTACTGGGGACTGATGAGTCAGAATCTCAGTATCGAAAGGCTCAGAATACTTGTGCCTCGACCCTCCGTAAGTCTAGAAAATTGTACGAAGGAAAACTTGTTAAGGAATCCACAAAATGTTCTAAACGCTTGTATTCTTATATAAGCCAAAGGACAAAGAGAAGAGGAAATATTCCTGCTCTATGGGGAGACAGTACTGCTTCACCATTAGTGGAGACGACTTTGGTAAGGCTCAAGTGTTCTCAAACTACTTCAGCAATGTATACACCATAGAAGCACCCTTCTCGTCAGCGCATACAGATCCCCCCACACATACACTGGATAACGTGACCATTAAAGAACTCGATGTCTTTGGTCTACTAAATAAGCTTGACACAGGTAAATCCACGGGGCCCGATGAATTACATCCTAGGCTACTGAAGGAATTATCTAACTTCGTTGCGAACCCTTTAAGTACATGCTTTAACCTATCCGTAACGAAGGGTCGTTTACCCAAAGATAGGAAAAACGCCATAGTAAGTCCTGTCTTCAAAACAGGTACGAAACACAAACCTGAGAATTACCGACCCGTTAGCCTAACTAGTGTGGTTTTTAAAATATTAGAAAAGGTTATTCAGAAGGAGCTGTTTAAGTACGTCGATGAAAACCGGATCCTTTCGGAGAAATAGCACGGTTTCAGAACAAATTATTCTTGTCTCACTAACTTATTAGTGGCTCGTGAAAGCTGGTGCGCTCTTAAGGACCAAAAGTTACCTGTAGACGTGGCCTACATTGATTTCAGCAAAGCTTTTGACAAAGTTCCGCACAACCGACTGTTATATAGGTTAAGAAATGTCGGGGTTCGAGACAGACTTCCTAGTTGGACGCTGACAAAATGCACGGGTGTACTCAAAGTTATCTAGCTAGGAAACTGTCCCTAATGAAGTGCCCCAGGGTACAGTTTTAGAGCCAGTGCTATCGTATGTAAATGCCCTTCCTCGTCTCCTATCATCATTGGTCTTGCTATATGCTGACGACGTCAAGATATGGAGAACGATACGAAGTAAGAGTGACAGCTTAGAACTCCAAAACGACCTGGAGAAATTAGCTGAATGATCTCCAACCTGGCAGTTGCCGATAAATACTTCTAAGTGTATTGTGATGCATATCAGTCATCAAGGTACAGATAAATGCACGATGAATAACACTTACGGGTCATCGTTAGCCAAGACTTCAAGACTACTGCACACTGCCGTGCAATAGCCCTCAAAGGTTTTAGAACTTTATGGTCAATACGTAGGGCCTTTAGTCATGTCGACGCTAAAACGTTTTTGACTTTGCATACAGTGTTCGTACGTCCTAAACTTGAGTAGTGCATACAAGCGGCTAGCCCCTGCTTATAAAATGACGGTGAACTTCTGGAAAAGGTTCAGAGAACGGCGACTAAGCTGGTTCTCGCAATAGCGAAGCTTCCGTATGAAGCTCGACTGGCCAAGCTGAACCTTTTCCCGTTGTCATATCGCAGAACTAGAGGCGACTTGATTACAGTTTTCAAATTGCTTAGTGCCAAGTTTGCACCTGATATGCTCTCATTTTTCTTGTCTCCCAAAACAGAGAATTTACGAGAACACTCCAAAAAAGTTCACAAGCCAAGAACAAGTTACTTGTCAGCTGACTATCGACTTTCCCATCGAATCATCAACGAGTGCAACTCATTACCTCAGCACGTGGTTGAGGTTCCATCCGTCGATTCTTTCAAAAGAAAGTTGGATCAGCTGAGAAACCACCATTGCCAGGACTAACACAGGCCATCAGGCCTCCTGTCCTTTCCGATCTGAAACTGACTTTGTTGTTTGTACTTGTTCTGTTTATGCTTGCTTTTGTGTACTTGCTGCGTCAGAAATCATTATTGGTCTACTTTAACTTGAAGCATTTCGGTTAAGGCTTGGAATCTTGCTAAACTTTGTCTTTTGGTACCTCCTTTCTCATTGCCTCTGACACTTGTGTTCATATTATGATAGTATGGTGTTTTTAACCTTAATCTGATAACAATGGTTGGTAGTACTTATAAATGTGGACAGCCAAACTGTTTATTCCTCGTGGGAAGAAGGAATGCAGTGCTACGAGTGTAAAAGTGGTTCCACAAGATGTGTACTCGTTTAAGTCCCACCGCATACAAAAGATACTCGAAGCCTAACTCGCATTGCGTTTTTACGTGTTTTGTTGTACAACTAAGACGTTAGTCATCTAGGGGCTATGAGCCTATTAGCTTTGGCCCGTAAAAGGAAAGATGGTGGTTGCACTGGTAAGACGAGTACTGACAAAGAAGAATATGCCAGTGAAGTACGTGCCGTTACGAGATGTGTTAAACACCCGACTGCGCCACTTTATATTGACACTGGTAGTCATGCATCTCTAGTGAAAATTGATGACCTGGATAAAACCATCACCGTTCCAGATATTCCAGGTGTGGATGTCCTGACTGATGAGAAATGAACCGCAGTACGGAGAAAAAGAAATGAGGAGAAAAATGCTGTTGGCAATACGCTCTCGGTTGGCATGTCATTGGTGAACTCCCATTCCGAGTCACAAAATGCATTACCAAAGTCTAATAGTAAAATAGAACTCCACTCTAGCGTGACCGAGAAGAATTTATTCTCATCGAGTATTGTTGAGAGTAATTTGCTGGAGTCTAACAGTCCTGATCCCAAAATTAGACACACGCATGATTTGGAAAAGCTTAGAGAACATATCCGTAGCATCTTACCAGATAACACTAAAGAAGTTCAGGTCAAAAAATTCATAAGAATAGGTAAGAGGACCGATGACAATGTTGACCATATTGGCCCTCAAAGGTAATCCTACGGTCGGAGAAGCAACGTGGTCTTCTGTTAAGTGGCGATCGTGGTCACGATAACACCGAGATTCGAGTTTCTTGAAGAGAGAATAAAAAGGAAGACACCACTATCCGAACTGGAAACCCATCGACAAACGGTGAGAAAATTCTCCAATTAGTGGGTTTTCCAATAGTCAGGTCTTGGAAGCAAATGTTCAGGTAAACCTGAACTTCTTATTCCATTTGATCTGTCTATACCAAATTAACTAATCAACGGTTCGAAATCAGTTATCTGATCTGAATATGTTAAACAATTGTCTGTAACATTAAAATAACGCAATCTCTCAACTACACACACACCCTTTTTTGAATTCAGTCTTTTATCTTGTGTACATATCTTATTTATTTATCTTCATTTAATGCATGCTGTGACATTTTTGATTCATTTCATATATAAAATGATATGTTTTTGTCAATATGCACAGACCGAAGACAATATATAGTTGAATGAACGTATAAACACAATCTGTTATCTTAACACTTTTCGCTTCACACCACATATCTCTTACACACCAATGTAAATACATACTTTAAACATTGTTAACGCTGATTGGATGACTTATTCAGTATACAGTAAACCAGAGGACCATGTACCTATTAATATTCGATAAGTTTGTAGTTTGATTACATTTTCCTTGAAAAAGCTTGGACCAGGTTGCCAGGCGAAACGTTGGATTTACTTCAAATTCTTTCTCTGAGATTTTACAAATACATTCTTCCTCTTTGATGACTCACATTAACTCGGCGCCCGAATATTCTGAAACTATTCGTTCTTATTTAACATTCAGCTATGGTGTGTAAATAACAGATTCTTGGTATTATGAGATTTTATTGCACTTGATATTAATTGGACTGAGGTGACCATGGAAGGATCTATAAAAGCAAAGAAGGATTTGTGGAAGGCATTAATCATTTATCCAGGAAACAACATGGTTTTTGCAGTGGCTCATCATTCACTTAATATTGTTTGGCTTGTATCTTCCCATTGAGGTTTAAGACTGCAATTGATCAGTCTGTTATTGGCATATGTGCATACTGTGCGTATGCCTCGATATTATCCCTGCTAGTCGCTAACCATAAAGGCCTATCCTTTTTGACAAAACTTTTCATTGCAAGTGAAGATTGGGCTGCGGTGGAAGATCGAAATATTCCTGTAGATGCGGTCTTCATAGATCTGACTAAAGCTTTCGATAAGATCTTACATACTAGTTTTAAATTGAAACTGAAATCTTTTAGATTCCATTATGTAGTCATGGACTGGACACGTGACTTTCTTCACTACATGATGCAAAAAGTAACGGTAAATGGAGCTCTCTCATGGTGGGAACCTATAAAAAATTGAGTTCCCCAGGCACGATCTTCGGTCTTCTTCTCTTTTTACTTTATGTAAATGAATTATCAACTAACAAAATAATAATAATATATATTTCTGAATGTGCAGGTAAACGCCGTTTTTACAGGCATGATCAATAAATTACAACATTTATTAGTGCATAACATGCCTCCCAACTTATTAAGTTCATAGATGTTATAAAGTAGACTCGTAGAGCG